CTACGGCGGAACGCGCATACGCAGGCTTTGCGAGCGTGGCAAGCACGGCTTGTAATCCAGGGCTGTGCTAGCCAACGCGCCGTCGGCGCCGTTCTGCCGAGCTTCGAAGCGTGGGTAGGGAGGAACGACTGTGTCACCTACCGATTGACTCAGATGCTTACCGGGCACGGTTGCTTCGGTGAGTATCTGAATCGAATTGGACGGGAGGCCACGGCACAATGCCACCATTGCGGGTCCGACCGGGACTCCGCCCAGCACACGCTGGAGGACTGCCCTGCATGGGAGTCCGAACGTCGAGTCTTGGTCGGACAGATCGGACGAAACCTGTCACCGCCAGCATTAATCGCGGCAATGCTGGCGAGTGGCGAGGGATGGGCAGCCGCGGTCTCCTTCTGCGAGGACGTTATGCTCCAAAAGGAGGCCGCAGAGCGGGATCGGGAAAGGGCCGATCCCGCTCGAAGGAGGCGGCGAAGGGGACGCGGCAGAGGTCGCTAACTCCCCAATCGCCGCCTAAGGGTCGCTGCGGCCACATCTTGGGGCGATGTGACCGCTGTAAACGACCCGAGACGGATGACACTCCGGTGCGGCCGGGGGGGTGTCGTCTAAGGCGGGACGCCGTTGCGCCTTTTACTCTGTAGAGCAGTGAGAGGCGCGATAGCGTCCTGCCCCAGGGTGACTACGGTCACTCCGGGATGTGCCTCAGACATGAGGTACGGCAGGGAGGACTCCAGAAGTCGCCGATGCGTTCCTGGAGCTCCTCCCGACTGCCAAGGAAGGCCGCCGCGGGGTTTAGTGGGTAGACCGGTTCTCCGGGAGTCCCACACACGCCCTGCGTTTCCCCAACGGAGGGTATGGTGCGAAAAGCATTCCCCGCGTGAAAAAAAAAAAAAAAAAAAAAAAAAAAAAAAAAAAAAAAAAAAAAAAAAGGGCCCGCCCTAAAAGGGTCCGATATAGAGTTAAAAGCATCTACGAATTGGCTTGGTGATCCCTTCGGAGAAACTGATGGTTTTGTTTGTGCGATTATGGACGAAGTTATCATGACGAATAACTATCGGAAATCATCTGTCGGGCATGCCACCCTCCTGGAGAATCAATCAGGATTATTTCTGGTTGTTATCGTCTCGCTAACGATGAATATGTGCACAGGCACAACCAAGTAGCCAGGATTGTACACCAACGCTTGCCCTTAAATACCAACTTGTGAATCTAGAGGTGCTACAGGTATGTGCCCGACCCAGTTCTCAAGAATGGTCAGACTACGTATTACATATATATTGTATTGGGACCGATCTATTGTCACAGACAGTACTATTGTTGCAAATAAGCCTTATATTGTAGTAATAGATCGATTAGAGCACCGCGCAGTGATTGTTGATAATGCCGTTCCTCATGACGAGAATCTCGTGAAATTTGAAAAAGAAAAACAAATGAAATATTTGGCTTTATCTCACGAGATTGTCGATATGTGGAATGTGGATTCGGCGATCATTGGTCTGATAGTAGTATCTGCTCACGGATTGATAGCCAAGAGCCTCGACCAAAGCCTAAAGAGGCTCACGTTAGATGGCTGGATCAAGAGTCTGATGCTTGACACGGCTCGTATAGTGAGGAGGTTCCTGTCTATGGAGTCCTAACCACCGGTGTCTTGGTCACTGTACCCGATGTCAGTGATTTCCTTCTTTTTTTTTTATTGAAAAATGTAATCAATAAGTATATAATGTATCACGGGTGACGAGGGTTGCGGTTTAAAGTACGGTCGTGGTCACAACCAATTTGAAGGTGATTATCTTTATTATTTGTTTTATCCTGTCAACATACTTATAATGTCAACTCTATAATCACGTAAATCGTTATATGTCCAAATCAAAACTACATTATTATTATATTTATGTAGCTATATATCCCTTTAAGATACCAAATTTCGTAAGTAAATAGTTACTGCCTGATACCAGCTTACATGAAAAAATTGTGAAAAGTTTCATATAGGTCCTACATACTTTGGCGTGAGTTCGGCCATTTATGGAACGAGTACACTTATTTAAATTTTATCTTAAGTAAGAGGTGGGTAAACCTCATTTCATTCTGTTCCTTTAACATTCCGGGGAGTAAGGAGAAGCCGTCGACACTATGTTTATATAAATTGCTATACCTATATTAACTAACTATTAAATAACACATATACCACAGTAGAAGAAACAGCATAATATCTTTTAGAATCACTTGTACATGACGATCCGCCGGCAAATAACACTGATCATCACCGACAGATCGGGCAGTGGGCCATCGAACCACCAGTCTCTAATGTCTGACTTACCATCTTCAGACGAATTTCTTAGTATCGTTAGATCCTTGCCGCTAAACAAGGCTACGGGTGATGATAAAATATCAAACAAGATGATAAAAGAAGCTTGTAAACTTTTGGGTGACACGATTTTGACTGTTTTTAAGTGTTGCATTGCGGAAGGAATATTTTCTCGTATTTGGCGGTGTGTTAATTAATTAATTTATTTATTGGAACAAAGAACTGATGAAAAATGATCCTAAATCTTACCGACCAATCACATCCTTGCCAGCGTTAGGAAAGAACGTCTTGTAGTCTTGTAGTACATTTTCATTTAAATTACTTTGCTTCCCTGTTTAAAAACGGTATATGCCTATTTTAATTCATTTTGTCTCCCGCTTTGCTGCGGAGGGAAGTGGATTTATTATATTAACAACTCCAATTTTTTTTGATTAATTTCGTTGCAGGTTCGAAGACAGTTTAATTTTTTTCCTGGGATTGCCCAAGTGTCATAACTCGGTGTGTTCGTGGGTCACTGCTGTTGATCCTGGTGTACAGGAGTTACAGTGGTGGACGTGTGGGAGAGATAGTCCCATTAATACCTATATTAAAGTATTGCACTATTTTCTAGGGTCAGATGCCAGGCCATGTTTTGCACAAGCCTGGACCGGCAGATTACGAATCAAAACAATTATTTATCCAAGCCACGAACATATTTCTTGAAGTTCGCAAAGTGTAAACCGTAATAATAACTAATACACTTGCCTTTCCTGGCTTGGGACTACTATAGTGAAAAGGATTTCGTTTTAGTAGTCAGTTGCCTGAATCTATCCTCGTATAAGAAGGTTTAGTTTATAGTCTAATAATACACGGTACCTAGTGTGGGTTGTTGAACTATTCAAAACCTTTCATATATTTCAAAAATATCTAGCAGTCGCCGTCCTTACTGAAATGATGCTGTATTTAAACATTAAACTGTCAGAAGATTAAGAAAAAGCTTCTTTTATTCATGAGTACAATAATAAAACAATTAACTGTCTAAAAAAGACCACGGTTAACCACTAATAAATTTACGTTACAAGGAACCGCCTACCTTTTTCATGGCCACGAATCGAATCAGCGAAAATAATGCTTGTTTGCCACTAGAATAAATCAGTTAAAGACTACCTAAAGATTTCTATTAGCAAATTTATTTATTTGAAATTTTTACTTTTTAACTCACATATAAAAATGTACGTAATCTGAGATTCAGTTGCGATATCTACAGATTTTTGCTGATAGGGACTCACCTAATGTGTATAGAACATATATATAAATATATATATTGTGCTGCAATAGTCTTTAAAAAGAATAGGTTCTCGGCATATTTTTATGTTGTCATTTAGTACCTATGTCTAAATTATCAACAATTTATTTATTTTTCTTATTATCAGTGGCAAATAGTTAGATTTTCATGTGATATTTGTTGCCTTATCAAGAGTTATGTAATTTTATTGATATGATTACCTTTAATATATTATTGTCACTATTTTAACGTGACTAACTGACCTGCGCAAACTCGATACCAGGATTGGCTTAGTACGTGGGCTGTGTTAACCTATCGTAACACTGCGGATATTTGGGTTGAATAAAACAATCTATTGTGAGGTAATATTAAAAGAGTATTCATAAATAAGAACAAGATAACAAGCGTTATTTAGTATTATGACAATAAATATCATATAGCGCCAACCGACCTCTTATCAGTTCTAAAATATTTCTCTCTTTCTCTTAAATTACCTATTTATCTTTTCTACTGTAAAATTTTGATTAATATTATGGCCACGTTATTATCTTAAGGTTAAAAGTCGTACGCAGTAAGATTTTATTTAACTAACATTAATTTAAAAAGAGATACATAACAGGTATTGACTTAAATCTAATTTAAATTAGTTGTTGATGAACTCACCTTATATTTGGATAATTGCCTATTTCACTTAATTATTATTTTTTCACAATTTTAACTCGTTTTAATTAATTAACACTAGTAGTTTTACTGTCGAAATTTTCGCGTGCCGTGTTCAAATGTTGCGCCGTGACAACGGCATGAGTGGTGACGTAAAAATCAATTTATCAGGACTAGGCATTGGTTCGATAACGTTGGTAGCTCTAAACGGTCAGGGTTATCGCTATTTACAAGATTTGTCTACCATTTTAATTAACCTACATTAAGTCTATCCACGAGAGTATGGTTTTATAAGACTTTTTCATTTTATGCAATTAGAAATGATTTATTCATACTTCTTTTTACTTGTATACTAAAAATAAAAAAATAAAAAACTAATGCACGGAGAATTCTACTATCTAATCCATTTACTACTGGTAACATTTAGTTTTCTATTACATTTTGTTATACGCATTAAATTTATTTAAAAAAAAAAATGAGTTCAAATTAAAAATAATGTTTATCATAAGCATAATTTACGTATCCAGTTTTCTTAAATGGTATTCCGTTATTTAAAATTAAACTAATTCAAATTTTAAATAAATATTTTAATATTTTCTTAACGAAAACATTCAGAACTAGTAGTAGCTGTCATATTCCGTAGTACGGAGTTACGTCATTCAGATTTTCAGATCAGATTTTCTTGTATATAATTTTAGAGTAGGTTACGTAGATTCTCAATTAAACGATTGAGAATCACATAAAATTCTGATTCTGAAGGATTAAAGACCATTGATGATGACGATCCTTGCTCGAAACATTTTCCGTGCCCTGGCGCAGGTATAGCATTTGTTATACTATTATTTCTTTCCTAAACCGCGTAGTGTTTCGTAACTTCTGTTATGATGAATAATGGTTATATAGTTCATGTACTGATTATCCTTATGATACATAAAAATATGTCGTTCTTGTTTGTCTATTATGATATTTTTCTTACGAATATAGTACATGCAAACGTTCAAGTATTTAAGGTCTAATAAAATGTTGTCTCACGTGATTCTACCCTGAAAAAGCTAATAATACCATAACGTTGTAACATCATAATACGCGATAGTAAATTCAATTTGTCTTATAAGTAGGTACACTAAATTCTTTCTGAGAATATTATTTTAAATAGTAGAAATATTTCGTATCATCCAGTATTATTATCACTTTTGCTTTGTCAAGTATATAAAATTGATTTAAGATTTTACTGATATGTAATTGAATTTTACAGGGTTCCCAACATGTAGGAAAAGGTGTACACACATCAAGCTTGGTAAACGCAGACAAAAAAGTATGTAAATCATCAAAAAGAATAAATACCCTGGTGAGAATACTAACTGTCTACTAATCATCTTGAAATGATTATGAAGCAATTTCAATACTATAATTTTAAGAATTCTTTTAAACACTTAAAATATATCATTAAATTAATATTCTTGTAATAGTTAATTCAGTTATTTTAATTTTAAGTGTAAATTACTAATAAAGCTTCTTATATGTATAATAATATGTATCACTTATTTATAGAGACAAATAAACTTAAAATTTTTGCTTCATTATCATTTCGTTGCAAATATTAAAATTTGCTTTAAATATATATGTACTATTGACGTTTTTATGTACACACATGATTGGTAAATTAAAATTTTAAATATGTTAAACACAAATCTAAATGATATTTTTGGTGGAATTGGTATACATAAAAAAATTACACATTTCTTTCCACTTCTGATTTTTAAGTTTTAGAATGATGATCCTCTGTCCGTGTTCCGCTGAAATCGTAAGCTATTATAAATGCATGTACATACACATTGTAATGTCTTTTTTGTAAATTCATAGACACCATTCTATTCTTAAATTCTAAAAGCAGTTTATAAATTGTTAAAGTTTTACTGTTTACTTTTGTGATTGGGCATTATTTTTTCTTTCATAAATAATAAAAGTATAGAATAATAAAAGTAAAGGTAGAGAATGCCCAGGGCATTAAGTCCGCCGATGTACATAACTGCATGAAGATGTAAAAAATTCCAAATGTGAATTTTCATATATGCACATTGTGCATGTTACATTGGCATACCTATTGGAACATAACTATTTTCAGTTGTATAATAGGTTTCCTAGCTTACTTATACACACACAGGGAATAGGATGGTTTTAGTAAATACAGGGTGTAAGGGACGTCATAACAAATACTGAAACAGTGTATTCAGACAAGCATTCTGAGTCGAAAATCATTGGAATTTTCTGCCGAAAAATTTAGTGTTTTATGCAATCATTGTCATTCCCTTTAGATATTGCACAAAAGTAATAACTATATTTGTATTCCGTGCAAACAGTCTACACACACTAATACAAGATGGCGTCCGTGGGGAAAGCCCTTTGGCTGTTAGATTAATTACATTACAGTTTTTGCCCGTACGCGGTATTTGTTTCTTTATTTTTGGTAAAATTTTCTGTTTACTCATTGTGATATCGTTTTTATCCAAAACCATGGAAAATTAACAAAAGATTAATAAATTTTCTGCCAGAAAATTCCAAAGAGTGTCGACAGAATGTTGGTCTGAATACACTATTTCAGTATTCGTAACGATGTCCCTAACACCCTGTATAGCATGATATTTAACCTACATGTTATTTGAGAATTTTCTCCTTTTAACATTCAATAAGTTATTAAAGTATAATATTATTCGAAAATATTGTACAAAATTTTTGACCTCAAAAATAACCTTTTAGATTCTGTTAATCTCAAGTGGTAATTTTAAATAATTTAAATGTCTGCTTGTGAATGTCTTAAAGAGCTAAAAGAATTTGTATTTATATGTAGCATGAGCCCCTCACATGCATTGTGTTGTCCAATAGCATTCTTCTTCTCCGTCGTCACACTCTTGTCAGAGTGGTCGTGGTCGTCATGACCGGAGCGGTGGCAAGCTTCACAATTTGTCGCCATTCCTCTCGTACCGTTGCTTGCCTCGTGCATTCGTGGAGTGGACCATTTAGAGCGGTTTTGATTTGGTCTGTCCAGCGCATTGGTGCTCTACCGCGCGCCCTCGTGCCCTCTATTTTGCCCTGAACCACGAGTCGCTCCACAGACTTGTCTTCCCGACGCATAATATGACCAAAGAAAGTGAGAATACGACCTTGAACGATGGAAGAAAGACGTTGTTTTATACCCAGTTCTTCGAGGATTGAGACATTGGTTCGGAACTCTGTCCAGGCTATACGAAGCATTCGTCTCCAACACCACATTTCTAAAGCGTCGATCTTCTTTCTCTCACTCTCTTTTAGAGTCCACGTTTCGGCACCATAAAGAAATATGGGAAACACTAGTGCCCTGACAAGTCGCATTTTAGTGGCCTTTGTTATGTCTCTGTTTCTCCATATCTTCGCAAGCCGATCCATGGCAGACCTGGTGATAGCCATGCGCCGTTTGATCTCGTCCGCGCATCCGCCATTATTCGATATCAGTGCTCCAAGGTAGATGTATGACTGAATGACGTCGCAATTCGCAATTTTTGTTACTTCGGGCGAGTTATTGTTGAGTCGATCCACAATCATAATCTTCGTCTTGCTGCGATTTATCTTCAAGCCGAAATCAAGGCTCACTTGTTCCATTTTGGTTAGCAGGGATTCCATGTTGCCGATGCTTGTTGCAAACAGAGTAGTGTCATCTGCGTAACGCAAATTGGAGATTTTATAGCCTCCAATAGTGATTCCGTCTGACCAGTTCTCGAGTGCTATTCTCATGATGAGTTCCGTGTAGATGTTAAACAGAAGTGGCGATAAGATACAGCCTTGACGGACCCCGGCACTTGGGTGAAATTCACTCGATAATACGTCGTCTGTTCTTACCGATGCTGTTCCCTCTTCATACAGTCTTTTAAGGAGGTGGACAAGGTGTTTGGGTGTTCCCATAGCCAGGAGAGTTTCCCAAAGTACTGGCCATTTTACCGAATCGAACGCCTTCGAAAAATCAACAAAGCAAATATAGGTCGGCTTGTTAAATTCCCTAGCCTTTTCAATAATCTGGCGCACGCTCAAGATCTGCTCACGGGTACCCTTCCCCCTCACAAAACCAGCCTGTTCTGGAGCTATCTCCCTGGACAGATAGGATTTTAATCTTTCATTAAGAATATGCAGTAGAATTTTACTTGCGTGTGGTATTAAGGCAATTAAGCGGTAATTACTGCATATTTTTGTAGAGCCCTTTTTATGTAGAGGTACAAAGACTGTGTGAGTCCATTCCTGGGTCCAAGTTCCAGTTTCCCAAATTTTGTTACACAGGGTATGAAAAATATCGACACCATACTCTCCTGAAGCCTTGATAGTTTCAATCGGTATGGCATCCCTTCCTGTGGCTTTCCCGCTTTTAAGGCGTTTGATAGCGGCTCGCACTTCATCTCTCAATACAAATGGCTCCTTTTCTTCGGCCCGGGGTTCTGTCGGGAGATAGTTGTGAGCTTGTGGATCTTCAAATAGCGATTGACAGTAGTCCCTCCACGTATCAGATATCGCACCTATCTCGGTCAGTAGCTCGCCCTGTGAGTTTTCTATAGCCCATGTTTTTGAAGAAAGAGTTTTGGTGATTGCTTTGATTTTTTGATGCAAGTCTCCAGTTTCGTGTCTGTCAGCGTGAACTTCAACTTCCGCACACAAGCGTTGCAGATGGTTGTTGCGGTCACGCCTACAAGCTTCCTGTATACGAGCAGATATTGCATTTAGCGTCTTCACGTCTGCTCCTCCAGCTTTCATTCTTCTTCTCTCTTCAACAAGGGCAAGAGTCCCATCGGTCATCCAGTGTTGACGTTTGCGAGTCACTGTAGAGGGTTTGGATTCCAACACGGCGTTCTCAAGTAGCTCCCTAGCCTGACCCCACAGTTGGTCCGGGGATGCCAGCCGTGCATCTAGATCAGTCCATTGATGCCATTTTTGGTCAATCGCAGCCAAGAATTTATGACTGTCTATGGGCTGGATTCTTTTCTGGCTTTCAATCTTCCTAGCGGCTTTGAGTTTGAGTTGGACTTTTGCTATTAGTAATTGGTGATCTGATCCACAATCAGCGCCCGGAAGAGTGTGAACATTTCTAATGAAACTTTTCCACCTTGAGCCGATCACAATGTAGTCGATTTGATTTCGATAGTTGCCATCAGGTGAAGTCCATGTATACAGTCTTCTCGGATGATGTTGGAAGAAGCTGTTTGATATCATCAGGTTATTCTCGGTAGCAAATTGAATGAGCCTCTCACCTCTTTCGTTTCGCTCTCCCAGCCCGAATTTTCCTACACATTGGCTGAGCTGATCAGCATGTGCTCCTATCTTTGCATTGAAATCGCCCATTACAATCAGTATCTCCCTACTAGGAATTTTGGCTATGGTTGATTCCAGCTCGGTGTAGAAGTGTTCTATGTCAGTGTCGCTTGCTGCGCTAGTTGGTGCATATAGCTGTATGATATTCACATTGATCGGCTTCGCCTTTAGTTTAATACTTAGCACACGATCGCTCACAGGTGTATATCCTATCACACAGCTACTAGTTTTCCTCGGTATCATAAAGGCAACTCCATTTCTGCTGCTGTCATCGTTTCCAGAGAAGTAGACAGTGTGCGATTCTGTCTGAAAGTGCCCATTTCCTCTCCAATGTGTCTCACTTAGACCACAGATGTTTATTCCGCATCGCTCTATCTCCCTCTCCAGGATATCAAGCTTGCCTGTCTGAAGCATTCCGCGAACATTCCACGTACCTATCTTTTGGACATTTCGCATCTTCATGAAGGGCATTCCAGTAGTCCGATTTCCAGACGATGCCTGGTTTCCTACATCAGCCTGGCCGGTAGTCCATTTCCCACCGTCTGTCCCGGATGCAGGACGGCGCCGGTTGCTAAGCGGATCGCATGGCCACCTCTGTATCTTATTTTTTATTTCGATCATGATGACTTTCTATGGGAATATAGTGCAGTAGTTTCCCATGGCTTTCTGCACCAGACATTTTAGAGGGTATTTGATCCTCAAGGTCGCTGAACCCTCCTCCGACCGGTTTCCCGGCGGGCTTACGGTTATACCGCCATGGTTCGGTCGCCAGAGCCTCGTCCGTTATCTAGCAGGGAGCACCGCGACAGTGTGAGACCATCGCCGTTGGCTATTCATACGAACCACCAACGCGAGCAGGTGAGGTTGACAATTGGGCCGGATATGTTTTTACTACCGCTCTCCCCTTACTCCCCGCATTACTTAACCGATAACATTTGGGTCATTTTGCCATTAAAATATTTTTCAGACTTATTTGTTAAGGTAAGCCAAATCTAGGGATTGGGTTCTCACCTGGGTTAAGGGAAAATGCTCGTTTCCATTTATGAAGTCTGAACTTGAAGCTGTACTGCTGAAACCCAAACTATTTATGGGGTGCCAATTTAGATCAGAGGTCATAGCAGCTATATTAGGAAAAATCGATTTCTATGTGTAGCAATGAATATATTTTCAATGGTCAAGTACACACACAAGTTTAATCATAAATTGAAGCTTTGGAGCCACCATTTCATGTCTCCATCGAAATCCACATCATGCCGGAGAAGTGAGCTTACTTGGAACCCCACCTGCATATCCAAGTTAATTACCTTTAAAGGAAGCCATTGGTCTTTTAGAGTCATCATCATCATCAACACTTTAATAGTCCACTGCTGGACATAAGCCTTTCCCTAGAAAGGAAGTTCTGGCCTTTTAGAAAGACTTTTAGAGTATTTAAACGAAATAAAAGTAACTAGTAAAATGATACTAGTTGAAGGAAATGAAAAAGCAAGAACATATTTTGACAATGCTTAGGCATTTACTATTAGTTATTTAAGGTTTACCAATCCAGGTTCATTCAGAGAATCTGAAAATGCTCCTGTCATAAACATAGATGTGTATGTATTATAGAAAGAAAGAGCTTGGAATTTGTAAGAACTGTTTTTATACAAAAACAGATTTAATAGAAATCAGTGGAGTTTGTAATCTTGTTGTAAAACAAGATTGTGCATACTTGTATTAAAGATAAGAGTCTTATATCTTTGAAATATAAAATTTGACAGTTTTTTAAATTATTTTTAATTTAAGTACAGTAGTAAATTTATAAATTAGTACACGTAGATGACATTGATCTAGTTAAAATATTTTTAAATTGCTTAAAAAAAACAAACTTATTAACTTAACTTAGTGAATTACAACATTTCATCGTTTATTGTTATTTGTTAAGCAGTTTTAATATTATAAACTAGATCAATGCCAGGTTAAAGGTCAAGATTAAGTAGTATATAACGCGATAAACTGGGCAATATGTAAAACAACAACCGGACGTAGAACTCATTACGTTGTAAATAGTTATCATAATGTTGATTGTTACGTGACCTCCCAGCGCATATATGACGATCTACGGTGATTTTAAGTTAAATCGTAAATGGGTTTTAATAAGGTAGTAAATTGTAGATTCTCAGGCATTTGAAACATCCTAAATAACAGTTGACAATCATAACTGAATCTGGATAAAATTATTTGCTCAGAGTGACTGATTCATTACTGCAGAGCCTAAACCGTTGGGGCTACAAATTAGAAATTTCGGCAGCTTTTATGTTTTAAGCATTCACCAAGAAAGGATTTTTGGAAATTTCACTTCTAACGAGGTAAAATAAGGGATTAACGGTTACATGGAAATTCGTAATTTTCAAGAAATAATGAGAGCGAAGCCTCCGGCAATAGGTAGTATGTTATAGAAACTACTTCATATGTGATTTTATTGATGAATTGTAATAGATGTTTGTCTTCCATTTGAATTGATGGAAAGCGGCCACGCCTTTTCAGAGAAATGGATTATCAGCAGTTTACCAGATTCTAGATTCACCAGATTTACTACTCATCAGATTCTCAACTAACCATTCAAGCCTCAACAGAAATAAAGGAAAATTAATTAATAACAAAATATTCGGTTAATCGCTTTTGTAATTAAAAAAAGAAAGTTTTTTTTATAATTTAGCATAAATAACTTTTTTATTATTTTGTCTTTTTTCTATATTTTTTTTTTTTTTTTGTTTTGTTATCTTCATATAGCAATGATTTTTTTAAATTTTAATTTCCATGTCTTCTGCTTCTTTTTTTAATATCAGAATACATTTAACCTTTGTGGAGAATCTGTTAAGTTGCGAATCTGATGAATATGGTAAACTGCTCATAAGGGAGAGAAACGTATTCTCTATTATTGAATGGACTTTTCTTCAATACTGCCTATGTGATCATAACGATCTTTTTTACATTTTCCTTTCACAAACATTAGAAAATCCAAAAGCATTAAATAAATTATTTAAAAAAATCTTAAATTTCTTTAAAAGCTACCAATACACTAATTTAACAGCATTATTATAATCCTTCTTTATAAATTTAGCAATCGGTGTCGAAAGAGGGGCGCATCAAATGCACATTGATTCCCGGCGATGGAGTGGGCCCTGAGTTGGTCTACTCTGTTCAAGAGGTTTTCAAGGTATGTTATTGTCTTCTTCTTGTATATAGGAAGTAGTTATAGCAGTGAAGCTGTTTGTTTGTTAAAATGACCCTAGTGAGATAATTCACATGTTCCTTTGTAAGTGTCCTCTAAAACGTTTTGTTGTATAAACAACTACGGTGATGGAATCACTGCTATTATTTATTGTAAATTTACAAATGAATGATGAATGTTTAAATATTTGGTAGTACAATTATACTACCTACTAAAATATTTGGTAGTACAATTGTACTACCAAATATTTTAAACATACTTCAAGAAACGGAAAAGATTCTCAGGAACTGAAAAAATAAGAGATGAAAAATTCTATTTTTATACTTGGTAGGATATAATTTCAATTCGTTCCCATTCAAATTTGAAATACCAAACCTCGTGGAAAATTTAAGAATGAAAAATACAATTACATTTTTGGTTGTCATCACTCCATAGATAATGATCTTGTTATAGGCGGCGGATATCCCAGTGGACTTTGAGACGTTCTTCTTCTCGGAGGTGAACCCTACTTTAAGTGCCCCCCTCGAAGATGTCGTCAGCTCCATCGCTAGAAACAAAACCTGCATCAAGGTAATTAACACTTGTATTTTTTAATTAGTATTTTACATCGCACGTCATCAGTGTTCGTAAAACAGTTTGTTTGGATGGACACGCTAATCTCAGTAACTACTGGTTCCAATTGAAAAATTTCGCTTAGTGTTAGATAGCCCATTTATTGGGAAGTCATAGGCTATATAACATCACGCCGCCATCAATACGAGCCGAGCATCAATAGTACATAGTTGATTCCTTTTGAGAGACGTAATCGAAGTTGCGCGGGTCAGCTATTGTCAAAACCGTTATTAATTTATAGGGTATCCTCGCCACACCTGACTTCTCACACACGGGCGAGCTGCAGACTCTGAATATGAAGCTGCGCAACGCTCTAGACTTGTACGCTAACGTGGTGCACGTCAAGTCTCTACCAAATGTAAAGTGCAGGCATCAGGACGTGGACTGTATCATCATCAGAGAGCAGACCGAGGGAGAGTACTCGGCTTTAGAGCATGAGAGCGTACCCGGTAACTATAAATTCCCTAAAGGTTTATTATATCCATTCTCATCCTTATTCCCATGAAATAGGGTTCCAACAAACATTATTATAAATAAATATGACATTTTCGTTTATTAATTACCGCGCGACTAAGTGTTCAACTAATTTAATATCACTAATACATCAGAATTAATGAAATTAATAAATCTAATCTAAATGTTTTTTTTATCTGAAAGTGACTTTACATACAACACGATCATTATTATCAAAATATGTTATATAGTTCAAAATATGTAATACCTACAGATAAAAGAAGAGGTGGTTTTCGAGTCTATGTATGTATATTTCTTAGGTATCTAAACGGATTTTGGCTTTAGAGACGTCGTTAGATTCGTCTTAATTGTGAGAAAGACGCAGTCGGGTCTCTTGCTTTTTCAATAATTAGCTTGTAAAATTAAAAATTAATACACATTCAACATCTAAGTGTTGGCCATTATTGTAATTATAATTTTGTGTTTTAATAATGCATGGATGCTTCTCTTCAGAAAATCTGGTATGGTTTAACAAAACTCAGCTACTTAAACACTTCTAATAACGGGTGTGTCAGTAAGAGAGCACTTTTTAAATTTAGAATCTGTTTTTTTCGTGTAACACTGAAATTTGACAGCTGTCACCTATGTTTATTCCGATTATTAAAAATGGAGCGCTTTTCGAAAGAACAACGCGTTATAATTGTGAAAACTCATTACGAAAATGGGGAAAGTTACGCGGAAACCGCTCGCTAACTTCGCCAAATTTTCATTCGAGAAAGTGCACCTAATGTGGTCACCCATTCGAAGAGTGGTAAATTTTTTTAAAGAAAATAGGTCGATTATGGATATTAAAAAGCCTTTGCGTCAACGGACCGATCGCTCTCTTGAAAACATTGCTGTTGTAAATGAGTGTCGCCGAAAACCCGAAAACATCAATTCGGCATCGTTCCCAACAACTTCAAATTTCACGAAGCACTACGCAGCGAATTTTGACAAAAGACCTCCATCTTCATGCGTATAAGATTTAGCTACCTCAAGAGCCGGCAAACCCGCAGACCATGGAAAGCGCTGGCAATTCGTCCAATGGGTAATGGACCAAAGTGAAGTCGATGCCAATGTTTCGAAAAAAGTCCTCCGATCAAGCGCATTTCCATCTGAATGAATGAATCTGAATCGTCTCAATTTGGGGCTCAGAAAATCTTCATGCAATTCTGGAGAAACAAATGCACCCACAAAGAGCAACTGTCTGGTGCGGATTTTTGTCAGGCGGCGTGATTGAGCTTTACTTTTTTGAAGATGAGGCAGAAATTGCAGTGAATGTGAACGGCATTCGTTACAGGAATATGATAACGGAGTTCTTGTGGCCTCAACTGGACGGCATGGATGTGGACAACATGTGGTTTCTGCAGGACGGCGCCACCTGCCACGCGCATGAAACAATCGACTTAATGCAGCAACGATTTCCAGAACACATTATCTCACGAAATTCTGATGTCCACGGGCCACCATGATCGTGCGATTTAACGCCGTGCGATTTTTTCTTTGGGATTTTGTGAAATCTCGGGTTTATGCGAATAAATCAGAAACAATTCCTGAGCTCAAATCAGAGATCAGTAAGATACAGCCACATCTCTGTGTAAAAGTCATGGAAAATTTCATGAAAAAAGTAATGGCCTGTCATCAGAGCCGTGGGGGCCATTTGCTGGCAATTTTATTCCATACTTAATCGGAACATGTCTTCTTTACAATCCAATAAAAATATCACAACTTTTTAACTTCACACAAAAAAATGGTTCAACGGCCATGCCCTTGAAATGTAATTTCAAGGACATGGCCGTTGAACCATTTTGTTTTACCTATTACTATTATACAAAATCGGTGACAGTGGCGACTTTTTTTCAAAGTTGTGTTCTATTGTTTCCAGGTGTAGTAGAATGCTTAAAAATCATCACCGCCGTTAAGTCTCAGCGAATCGCGAAATTCGCGTTCGATTACGCCGTCAAGTGTGGCCGCAAGAAGGTGACTGTCGTGCACAAGGCGAACATCATGAAACTTGGTGACGGATTGTTTTTAAGGAGCTGTGAAGAGGTTTGACTGCTTTATTACTTATATAAGGGATTCCCAAACTATTTTGGGCAAGAGACCACTTTTCTAAAACGAACTATAACCTCAGGTCCTCATGTCCAAATAACTGCACGCTTATCAACTTGTTGAATTTCTTAAAGTACAATAACAAGTTGATATACGTAACACAACTAATACAATATCCTGAAAGTTTCAAATTAATTCAAATAAGAACTTGTGTTAAATAATAGGTGTCGATTTTTAGACCGCGTCGACCCCAAAATCAGTTTTCGTAATCCAGGGAAACCCATTCGACTTTGGGAATCTCTGATCTATATAATAATTGTGCGATGAATATTCTTTATAGCCCCTTTTAAACAAATATGGCTTACGGAACATATGATATTTGGAATATCTACTTAATGTTTGTATGTAGGAGTATAGAAAAGTAATAATGTACATCTAGGTTAGTTAAGATGTAAAGAAAAATGCAATGAGTTTATGGCATGCATTACAATCGTGTCGGTAAATAATATTCTAAGTAAATTGTAAAAATAATAATATTCACCCCACCGACTTAGTTTTAATACTCTGCCGGCACAGGCACTAAAAATGTGTAAAACAATACCATTATAGATAGCGAAGCTGTACCCGCGCATCCAGTTCGAGAACATGATCGTGGACAACTGCACCATGCAGATGGTGGCGAACCCCAAGCAGTTCGACGTGATGGTGACGCCCAACCTGTACGGCAACATCGTGGACAACCTCGCCAGCGGGCTCGTGGGCGGCGCCGGCGTCGTGGCCGGCGCCAGCTACAGCGCAGAGTGCGCCGTCTTCGAGCAGGTCAGGGCCGCGCGTTTACACACGGGGGTTCAATATTATTACAAACTCATTTGTCTATTTATTCATTGTCTGTCAGGGTGTAATTTATCTATAATATGTATGTATTTTATCCATATGTATATATAAGTATGTATGTATATAAGAAAGCCCGTCTACTCGTCTGCCCTCTCTAACATAGAAATAATAAAAATATATATATATATGTAAATATAGGTATGTATGTAAATATATATATATATAATATGTGTGAGATATGTGTTGTTATTATCATTAACTGAGGCAATGAGGCACCGATGCTTGAAATGCAAATCTACCCAAATATGAACCCGGTAGTATTACGTCATCCGGAAGAGCGGAAATCGAACCCTAACGAGATTACCATTCAGTTCTAATATTTGTATGCAGGAATATGTGCATCATCTGGGTATTTTTATGTGTATGTATTTACGAAAAAAAAAAATTACATCACATATAATATTTTTCTTTGTCCTGAAATACAAACTACTTAAGTCTACGTAAGTCTCGGCTTATTGTGATAAAAAAAAAAACACATACAAGTTATTTGTTGTACAGGGCGCTCGGCACGTGTTCGCGGGCGCGGTGGGCAGGAACATCGCCAACCCCATCGCCATGCTGCGAGCCTCCGCCAACTTGCTGGCGCACATCAACCTACACTCCTACTCCAGGATGATCAAGGACGCAATCAACAAGTTTGTTTTATTTCACTATTTCCTTGTCACTTTTAAATGTCTAATGCAATATAACATAACATAATTATATACTAGTTATAACGGTCACCACCGAGTGAAACTCGCGTGATCCAGCTATATCCAAGTTGCAGTATAGTCTCTTGATATTTCTCAATTTTTTTATAAGAAACGTATTATTTATTATCATTATTATTATATAATGGTAAATATATATACGAGGGGAGGTCCAAAAGTTCGTGGAATGGAGGGGATGGGACGCTCGCTTAGTGTCATACTAATTGGGGACTCATCATTTTTTTTTTATGTTAGAGGTTATTAGTATATAAATTAAGTTTCAGTCCTATTGCTTCATTCGTTTACTAATATTCGCCTGCCAAACAAGTCTATCCGGAAGAAAACTGAAACTATGGAGAAATTTGAACACCGTGCTGTGATAAAATTCCTTACCAAAAGCAAGGAAAGAACGCTCAGACCATTTTGAATGAAATGCAAACCGTTTATGGGGGACGGTGCCCTAGCAAATCAATGATTTACAAGTGGCACGGTCTTTTTAAACGTGGTCGGGCGTCGATTGAAGACGACCCCCGCTCAAGAAGGCCAGTTGAGACCACCACATCAGACATCAAAAATAATAATCATCAAAAGCGTATATAAGGTTTAACTGTAGTAATATATTGAAATATTTAAATTTTTGTTATCGGTTTGCAGAGTCTTGCAAGACGGCAAAGTGAGGACAAAGGACCTAGGCGGCCAATCTACCACCAAAGACTTCACCAACGCCATCATCGCCCGCCTCGGCGCCTAAGCCCCTCCTCCTCCCAACGCCGTACGAATAGTTGTGTATCACCACCACCACCGCTTAGAAGGCTGTCAAACAAATTACTTCATAACATGTCCGGAGTAGCGGACAGTGTTCTAAGAAATGGGAATATTAATTTTTCATTTTAACTTAATTTATATTTCGATCTGTGTACCATTGTAAATTTATTATTTATTTTAATATTATTTCGTCAGTATTTCGAAGTATTTATGTAGTCGTCTATTCTTAATTTAAATAGTAAATAAATCAGAAAAAACCTTTAAAATTGTTTTATTTGTTTGTAGTTTCAATGGTATGGTATGACATGCTTGTATTTCAATGGCCGCCTTCTAGGACCTGGAGATGGATAAAGTTTGTGTCGATATTTTGTATTAATAAATTATTTTGAAAGCAGCAGTCTTGTAATTTATTTTACGACTTCTATTTTGTATAGTTTCGGAACCTCAGATCCGAATCTCATGGACCTGCGCATAAAGGCGGCCAGACTATTACATACCTGAGTATTTGTTAAGCTTTCGGCATGTTAGAATATATATAAAGGCGCACTCTACAAAGTTACCGTACGTTCCATACCTTCTTATTTTTAGTAAATACAAAATATAAGGTCGGAATTAGAAAACGAAGAATGTGTGCTATGGCTACTAAAAAAAGTTCCTAAAAATTGTTTTATACAAATTAAAGGTTGGCAATACGGCGCGATAATAGTACATAATTTAAAAAGTATTACATAACTTTAATGCACCGCCATATTGGTTAAAAAAAAATCAATAGGCAAGTATCATAAGAATTGTTATGACCGCGTTCATAATTTTTTGTATAAATCTTATACTTCTTCATAAAACGCAGCAGCTTGATCTTTTTTAAATACTTGCACTACATTATAAATAACATTTTTTTGATACTGTTCTTTCCTAATCACGTTACTGAAGCATTTCTGTAGATAGGCAAGAGTAAGAAATTTACAGATGAAACGACGTAATTCTTTGGTTATGTCAGAGTGCGGCAACTTCAAAAGTGGACTTAAACTGAGCTTAGAAAGTTAGTGGTTAGTAGGATGCCGGTATAACTCTCGCAACGGCTAGCTTCTTGGTTCTGTCAGTTATCACGTATTTCAAAGCTTGCGGGGAGACCTGGAAATACACAAATTAATTTCATGCATACTATCTTATTATTTACCATATTATTGGTTATATCTAAGAATGATCTGCAATCCACGTGGGTTTATAGTGTCCGTAGTAGGGTACAAGAAACCAGGCAACGTGGAAAATGCCATCTCCTTAAAAACAATCTTCTGCTGCCATCTATCTTTAAGGCTTAAGGTAGATTATACTACGTATACATGTATACTGCAATGCATGCTTCAAGAAAATATAAAATCGCCTTCCATTGCACACAATCGAACTAGAGACATCATAAGAGCTACGAAACTTTTGAATATAGGTGTGCTTCATCATACAATCTTCTTAATTTTAATTTCGTATAAGAACGCCATGACACGGAACGAAATATGTGATGAATCTGTTAATTAAAAACTGTTTACTTAAAACTGTAGCGCTAAAATCCATAAAAATCGCTTATGTGGATGTTTGTACCTTCAAAAAATATTTTTTTTAAGATTTTTTAAATTGCAATCTCTAAGAACTTACCTTTTCTGGATTCCTGTACCACTCCTCTTTCGATAATCGTCTATAACATTTGAATTCTGGACGCATGGCGAGTACTCTAAGTCTTGGTGTGAGACCTTCAAGAGGCTTGCATGGACCTCGCTGCAATAGCAAATTTCAAGCACTATAGGATTGTTCTACTCTAAAGTGAACATTAGAATAACTTTTAAGTAATACTAATAATATATATATTAATTATTATCTAGTAATATCTACATTTTAGCTGTTTTATTGCTGTTATTACTATTTCACATACTTTAATCGGGTCCGGTTTGAAATCACGTTTTGGACCAGCTATCTGTCCAATGTAATCCATATGTTTCTTCCACTCGGACTCTGACCATCCACGTTTCTTCTTTATATCTTTGTTATCCTGTTTTTTCAAATCAAGAACACAGTTCGCTAATTTTGAGTACATTGTAGCATTGGAAGCCTCAATCATGCGATCTAGTCGTTCCATGCGCTCCGCACTGAATATCTTTTTAAATAGCTTTTTTGTTTTCACTAAGCGTCTGCAATCATGATAGAAAAGTATAAAGCTGTTGTAACCATAAAAAATCATTTAAGCATTAACTCGTATTATTAATTTCTTATGTAGATTTAGATTGTAACTTTGTCTATTTTTCCTTAAGATCATATTTGACATATATTTACTAGGGATTTTTAGAATCATCTGTAAACGATGGCCAGTTTTATAAGAACAATTATGTTTAAATATTCTAGGTCTGCTTACCGTGTATATGGCCAAGCGACATCGTTAACTCTGTCGTTGGGTGGGGCGCGTAAAGCTGACACACGTATTCCCCTTGGTGTGTACGCGGGCATTCCTTCATCCGTTTCAAGTATGTAAGTGTGAGGCACACTGAGCATATTCAGTCTCTTCCGTATTTTGTAATGAAATGTTGTTGTCGGTGGATCGTACTTCGGTTTGGTCATTATGTTTAGTAGTGGAGTAGCTAGCTGTTCAGAGAGTTATACGGAATGGTGGGTTGCGTCTGGTTTACATTTTGGTGTTAACTTATTTGTGTTTATATTTACCGTCCATTTTTATTTGACGTGCCGGGCTGTCTTGATATGGTTTTGATCATAGATGTCTTTCATCTATTTGTAATTAGAACTTTTTATTTTTATAGTGTTGAATGGCAATATAACTTATGACTCTTTGGTGCAACCTTTTTCATCGTTGCAGTTTCCAGAATATAATATTAGTGGGCGTTAGTTATAGACACGTAGAATGAAAAATAAGATTCTAAGCTCAGGCTCAGACTCATATTATTATGCACTTCAATTTCAAAACAATCTCGTTGAGTCCCGAGCCCGAGTGCCCGGCGGTATTTAGATTCGTGTGCACGCGCCGTTTTGTTTGTCCAGGACCAGGATATCGTTATTTTCAATTATTTTCTTCTAAGGTTTCACTACGTGAGTGGGTTATAGTTTGATTTAATGATTTTGCTATCCAATGCTCAATACATTATTCTCTGAGACTGAGGGTATAACGACGTAACTGACGATTGTTTTTAAGTAGTACCTACTACTTAAAAACAATCGTCAGTTACGTGGTTGTACATAGTTACATAATGTGTAGAATAATGACGAAAGTTGATAGTAGAGTTTAAAATATTACACAGTTAAACGTGTCTTTTTTATGGGCGACTAGCGGTTGACCCTGAGTTTATATAACATTTAAAGTTAAAAAACATTTTAGGGTCTGTATCTGCTCTGAACACATAAATCACGGAAAAAAATATGCCACAATTTCGAAATATCAGATATGTCCAAAGCCACATTATCTGAAAAGTGGTCACGTACATGGTCAGCCACAACAACGAACAAAAAAAACGGCCGGTCGTCGGGGTGGTTTTTAGTAGAATAACCACATACTCCTTGCTCTTGAGTCCCCGAGGCGCAGGAAATCCGAAGGGATTTTCCACTCCGTCAACAAAAAAAATAGTGCTATCGACTATCACTTACAATGGACAGTACAGCGAATCATAATATTCTTACTTCCTATAAATGTCCTACCTTATTTTAGCAATTAGCAAAAATATAACTCATATATTCAACCAAAAGGTCAAGATCAAAAGATCCTCGAAAGTCAAAAAGTATCGTTCAATGCCAACGTTGCCAGCGCTACGGTATACTCAAAGAATAACTGTATGAGACTATTTCGGTGCGTCAAATGTGGAGAAGGCCACAAAAACTCGGAGTGCAAACAGAAAGATAGAGCCACACCGGCTAATTGCGTTTTCTGCTCGTGTGATCACCTGGGTAACTACCAAGGGTGTGAAATATACAAAGAAATCCTTTCCCGAAGAAACAAAAGTTCAACACCAAGAGAAACTCAACCCGCCCCAACCACCAAGGCACCGCCAATAAACACAATCTGTTCGACCTCGACAATAACCGAAGGAACCGTACCCACTCACCAACGCTGAAGTTACCGATGGGGAGAGTACTCAATCAAATCAACAATCCTAAAACAAACTGGAAGGTATCCTACTGATAGTGATAAGCTTACAAAATGACTTCTCTACACATTGCCGTTCTCTATTGATGTATTTTGTACTATTGATATATGATATTGATCTATTGGTGTATGATTTATTTTCGGATCGAAAAGTCAGTCATTTATAAAAGATGTTCCTACACTTTTCACTTAAAATTTCCATGACATAAAAATTGACCTATTTTTGTTCTATGGTGTTACCATAGAAAAATTCTGGACTCGAAAACGTTACTTAACATAACTACCTCGGGGTGTGGTATAGTCAATTTTGTATGAAAACCGGCCCATTCGGCCAATGTGGCTGTAATACCATAAATAACATTACAAAAGATTTTTAATGTTAAAAGTTGAAGGTAAGTTTTTTTAAATTAATGATTCCAATAAAAATTGTTATATGCGTGATGACGGATGTGTCCGTGTGGTGACTAAGAATACAGAGTGTCACCACCCCTATTCATCAAGTGGGTGTCGTAAGAAGCGCCTAAGGGAGCAAACTAAGCAGGACAACAGCACTGCAGAGAGAAGGAAAACTTGACACAAACCCTATACCAACCCGTCTGGCCAGCGTGGTGTAGTAGGCCAAAACCTTCTTTCTAAGAAGAGGCCTATGTCCAGCAGTGGACTAGTAAAGGCTGTTGATGATGATATGTGTGATGTTTTATCAATAATTTAGTGTTTTTACAGCAATTAGGTAAAGATTTTATTAGTGGTCATTTTGGACGAGTAGTTATTTTAGGCAGTAATTATTTTTGGAAAGTGGTCATTTCAAGACAGTATTCATTTTAGGATAGTGGTCATTATCGACCAAAAGGTTGAGGTTTAAGAATTTTAAGTAACCATTCACAAGTCAAAATTTACCTCCTACTGTTTTATATTGCACAGTTGGTTTCGGTTTCGGTGGTAAATAATAGCAGCAAATAATATAGCCTTTTAATGACAGTAAAGGATCATACGCTAAAGGACAAAGTCGAAACCCACGATAAAATATACTGACCATTTATTTGTTCTTGGCAATATAAGTGTTTGGCAATATACGTAGGTATTTGACATTTTGCGAAAAACTTGTCACGTAAAACTTTCACGATAAAACAGAACATAGTTCTGTCATCAGATTAATGACAAAGCTATATGCTTGGCGACTTGTTTAAATAAAACAAATGATAAAGAGAAGATATGTTTATTTCTTAGAATAGGTACAGTACAGTTATGTACACATGTTTGTCAAGTCACTTATGATAGGGTTATTTGTTAGAATTGTAATACGTTTTCACATTTTTTATTTTGGTTCAAAAATATCATTAGATTATAATAGGGTGTCAATTTACACTTTAATGCTCAAGAAAGAAGCAAACATAATGCGAAGAACCGCTGTTTCATTTTGTGGGAAGAAAGAATATTATTGAACCTTAATAAAACTTGTATTCGATATTGGGTACAGGATATTTTCATACTGCAACCGTATTAAATAAATGATAATAACACTATTCGTATGAGGAAAGTGCAAGTATTAGACAAAATAATAATTAGACAGCGCGTTAACTATGAATTACAAACAGTGACATTAAGACAATCCTGTAAAAGAGATATGGTAAGAAAAAAACTGAAGTTAACAAGGAAATTAATGTTTACAAAAGCTAAAGCAAATTTTAACAAAAGAAAGACTAATCGATAGAACTAAAAACAGATGGATAAAAGCAAATTTCGTAATTGATTAAAAATGTAAATCCAAACGCAAGGAGAAATTATTTAAAAAAAGTTATGCCAAGTAGAACTATTTCTTCGGAAACAATGAGTCACTAATTAAGAAGCGGTGGATTTAAATGTTTATACTTAGCAAGCAGGCCTCCGCTTGCGACGATCAAGTTTTAATGTTTAAAAAATGTTATTAATATTGCCGATTGTGGCGAATCCACCACTCGCTGCGATCTACAATATTATTAACATTTTTTAAATATTAATCCTTTATATTTAAAAAGATACATTACATTGTAATTGTACCATAAATAAATGTCTTGTCAGCTTATGTTTAATTATGGTTAGCCGTAGGCAGGTATAACTCTCGCAACGGCTAGCTTCTTAATTCGATCAGATATCTGGTATTTTAAAGCAGCAGGAGCAACCTTGAAACATGCAAACATTTGTTAGACTTCTCATAGATATATAAGAATTGATATAGGTATAGAACAAGAGAAAAATATAAAAAAAAATTGATACTAAGAGAAATATAGAAAAGCGCAATCAAACTGTGAAATTTAAAAATCACTTGCTTAAACATAATAATAATAACTTGACACATCAGTCAGTCTGGTCCCAAATTAGGCAGAGCCGGTACTATGGTAACCAATCTGCTGATAAACATACTTATATGTATATATCTAAATACATACATATTATAGACACATTACACCCAAACACAGAACAAATTATCGTGCTCATCACACAATATATGTCCTGGGTACCTCTGACTTAGCAGTCAGGCAGGACCGCAGAGCGTACACCGCACGCGGGCAGCATTTACAAGAGGGGCGGCAAAATCAGTAATCGAGAAGAAACAATCTATCCCGTCTAAACCCGTCTGGCCAGCGTGGTATAGAAGGCCAAAACCTCCTTTCTAAGGAGAGGCCCTATGTCCAGCAGTGGACTATTAAAGGCTGTTGATGTGATGTCATGTGATGTGTTAAAACAAAACGGAAATTTATATGCGTAGTGCCAGTTAAAATGGTGACAAATCGGTGTTATCTTAGTAAAAGATATAAAATACACTCGCTGTCTTAATTACAGAGGTAACTATGATGATAAAATCGAAAGAAGGAATACCAGATATACAGGTTTGCTTATTTTATGTTAGAGAGGGCAGACGAGCAGACGGGTCACCTGATGGAAAATGACCATCGCCGCCCATGAACGTCTGCAACTCAGGAGTCACAAGCGCGTTGGTGGCCCTTTTTCCCACTAACAGAAGCAATTCAGTGCTAAAGTGTCAGGACCTCAGCATGAGTTCCAGCTATGGAGGATTCTCACTTATCCACGTCCCATTTCAACAAATTACACTGTATTAGCAGTTATTGCTAAAGATCGACCTGAGGCTTGACCGGAGTGGTACCACGGCCTCACAGAAAACCGATTTTGACTGCACGGATGGCGTAGTCGTTTAAAGCGGTCGCCACGCCGCTTACTGCTATGCTAAGTGCTGTGGGTCCACCCCACATGGGACTTCACTTTGTGTGATCCACAAATTGTTGTTCTGAGTCTGGGTGTTCTTTGTGCCCGTTTCATGTATGTTGGTAAAGTCCTCCGCGACACAGGATATACTTATTCTTAATGCGAGAGTTGTCTTTTAAAAAAAAAAAAAAGTGTAGAATTTGTTTTTTTCGATACGAGATAAACATTTGGAAGGTTGGTGTACCTATGTAGTCTGCGGCAACTATCTAACAAGTACCCTTTGTAATATACCTTTGTAAAGAATGTAGGAACTAACCTTTTCAGGATTCCTGTACCAGGCTTGTTTAGACAATCTCCTGTACACTTTAAACTCTGGTAGTATGGAAATAACATTAAGTCTTGGGAAGAAAGCTGAGAGCGGCTTGCGGGGTCCCCGCTGTAATGATATAAATAGGTAATATTAATACTAAAAAAATAAGTTTATAAAAAGTTTAAGTATTTATCTTATTTCCATTGACATTAATATTCACATGAATACTAATTTTAGGTGTAACCGTGCAGTACTAAATTCATTTTGTAGTAGTCGAAAAGTAGCTCTACTTAGAGCGTTTGTTTGCAGTAGTTAGAGTCAACCACTGGTTTTGTTCGTATCGTGCTCTAGAACCAAGCGATTCATCAACCTCAATTTTTTGACATCCAAGTACCTACGGCGTCACTCGGTATGGCCACACAAAGGCCGAAGTTTACAATAACCTAATAATTTACCTTGATTGGAAGCGGTTTGAAATCACGTTTTGGACCAGCTATCTGTCCAATATAATCCATGTGTTTCTTCCATTCTGACTCGGACCAGCCGCGTTTCTTCTTTATATCTTTGTTTTCCTGTTTCTTGAGATCAAGCACACAATTTGCATATTTTGCGTAGCAGGTAGCGTTCGATGCCTCAATCATACGGTCAATGCGTTCCATGCGCTCCACACTAAATTGTTTTTTACATTGCTTTTTCGTTAGAAGTAGCCGTCTGCAAAGCATCATAAAAGGTTAATTCAGAGGTCTGATTTTATCTAAATAGCATAAAAATAAGTTTGTGTTCAAGTGATGCAAGAAAATGGGACTTTCATTTGCAATATAATAAATTTATTGACTTAAAGCAATGTGAACATAATTCCTACAATCCAACATGGATACGATTTAAGAATCTTTATTTATCAAAAGAATTTTCCAAATTCACTTACTGAGAAAACATACATAAAAAAAATCTATTGAGCTTTTGAATATAACAAAAAATAAAAGTGGGTTTGCCTACCCACTTTTATTTTGCACAAGATTACGAACTTGCAAAACACTCGAACACAGAAACCAAGGAACTAAGCAACTGAACCAAAGATGTAAGGTAAAATTAATGAATAGAGTAGCATCTAGATGGTAAGTACATCGTTATCATCAACAGCCTTTAATAGTCCCCTGCTAGACATAGGCCTCTCCTTAGAAAGAAAGTAAGTAGGTAAGTTGTAGGTATTATTATTAGTTGTACTCTTATTTTTTATTACTATGTTTACGTATACAAATATTTTTTTTTTGAACTTTTTTCTTAATATACAAACATACACACACATTATGTATATGTTGACTCCTTCAAATTCAATATTCTTCATTCCATAGTTCGTTCAACGCGTCCAGTTACAAGATGGCTTGCGTTTCTTAGTTTCATTTTTTGCCGAGCACAATTTGTTGTAAAAGATAGACTAGTATGTATATTTCTATTTAATATTTTACGTATCAATATACACGTTTAGTACCTATAAGTTTGCTGTTATGGTTTGGATTGAAAGGCGATTGTAAACCGCAACCCTTCAAAATGCTTCCAAGTGGTTTTAAGTTTGTACGTGCCTTAAACCTCCCTGCTGATACCCGAGTGTTAATACGAGTATGTAATTGTTGCTGGTGCATAATAAGTACGACTGTCTTTAGCCTCTCGTTTGAAATCATTGTGAATAAAACTGCAAAACTTGAGTTTTCAAGGCACTAATAATAGAGTCTAGACCACGGTGGAACGGGGCCATTACTTATTGGATTAGTAGGGAGTTGGAGTTTTCTAGAAGTTGCTTTAAAGATAGCAGATGAAGTGAAACATAGATACGATGAAAAAAATTAATATTGTATAATATTGGATCGTTTTATAATTGAATTTAGTTGAATTTATTTATAAATGAATTTAGTTGTCTTTTTTGTAATGGATTAGGTATATGTTACGAATCTCTTGGGGACTCGACTAATTTCAACAGTAGGTATCATTAAAAATCAACACATAACGAATTGTTTTTTTCACGTTATAACGTGAAATAAAACAAACAGTATACTTACATCAGTGGCGGATTAGCCACGTAGCAAGAGTAGCAAATGCTACGGGCCCCGCGCATTTGGGGGCCCCCGCTCTTTCTGACCGTAAAAAAGTATCTACTTACTCGTATTTCGATCGGAGTGTGAAAAATATTTTTTCAAATCAATAAAGCCAAAATTCTTATCACGAAAGAGTTGCATCTAAATGTCAAACTATAATTTGACGGGCCTGTTGGTTTAGAGGTTAGTGAGCCTGCTAAGCCAGAGGTCGTGGGTTAATATTAATATTAAATCTTAACATTTGGTAATAAAAATCAATAATGACACAATAGTAAACATACAACACAAACTGCACAATAGACATTGAGATAATACATCCATAATCATAGCACTTACATAATTTTGGTGAATGCTCGCCCTATGCCAGCGGTCAGAACTGCCGTCCACACTGGGGCACCGTACAGTGCCATTGACTGGACAGCCCCGTGTACAGCTGTCTTGAAACGATGCTGGTTGGCAAAAGTCACTTAAGAGCAGACGCAGTGCCGACCAGTTTTAGGGTAAGCTGTCGGGAGTGCTCATCGAAGAGCCATCTCCCGTCAGGTATCAGGCCCATATCCTTCATCTGGGCCTGAACCGGTACGTTGATCAAGATGACCACGATTGAGGCGCCAGGGGGTGGACTACAACTAGGCCCAAGAAATAAGAGGCCTCCGTCTTATCCAGGACCACCTTTAAGACAACAACCAAAGAGACACCCCAGGTCCCCCTCCTACCCACAGACAACCAAAGTGTCGTTGGCGTAACAGATTACTGGGCGTAATCTGTTACGCCCGGGGGGGGGGGAAGTCTCTTCGAAGGGCCTAGTCGTACCCTATGTTCCACAGGAGAGCCCAAGACCAGAGCCCTGTTCAACACCACATGACATGGGCCGACGTTTCAAAATTGAAACAAAACCTATAGGGTTTGTTTCGCGAAACTTAAAACAAGCCCAAGTAGGGTTTGTTTCAAATGTGAGACTGGTATAACCAACCCGTCTGGGCAGCGTAGCATAGCAAACAAAAATCTCCTTTCTAAGGTGAAATATCCAGCAATAGACTGTTGAGGATGCTGATAAATACCATAAACTAGATAACCTAAAACAATCCAAGGGCCCTTGGTAGAATTTGCTACAGGCCCCGCGCTGTCTTAATCCGGCACTGACTTACATCACTAGTCAGCAGTGGTGTTGTTACCAAAAAAAATATGTAAATGAGACCCCAGTGGTGTGGTTTAGTGGTGTCGTATACAATACACGAACTTACCTAGTATATGGCCAAGCGGCATCGTTAACTCTGTCATTCGGGGGTGCGTGCACAGCTGATACACGTATACCCCTCGGCGTGTATGCGGGCATTCCTTCACCAGTATCGATGATGTATGCATGGGGCACACTGAGCATATTCAGTCTCTTCCGTATTTTGTAAGGAAAGGTAGATGTCGGTGGATCGTACTTAGTTTTAGTCATTTTGATTGAAGCTAGCTGTTCAGAGAGTTATTCGGAAAAAAGGCTGCGTTGGGTTCACATTTTTGTGTTTGTATTTACTTTAAAACTTTTACTTATGTTTACATTTTCCGGCCATTTTGTTTGTTGTCTGTCTTGGTTTTGGATGATAACTTGTGTATTTGTATTTAGAACTTTTTTATTTTTTGCGATGTATGCCAGTACGATCTTCTTCTCTTTGGTATAATCTTTTAAAATTGCTTACGGAGGAAGCTAAATTAAGGAAGCAACTCTTTGGAGTGAATGCTCGTAATGCTGCCTTGGCACCACATATGGAAAGAAAATTATATTGCCTTTTACTGAGTGAGTGTTAGGTTACCGGAGGCATAACAAACCCAGTCCCCCTAAATCCGCAACCGAAAACTGGGGCTGGCAGAAGTTCAATAACATGCTTATCTCAGTAACAATGCATCAATTACCAGCTCGAGATTATTTAATGAAAATATTAGTATGTAGCTGCTTGTGGATGTCGGAAGAGTGACACAATCCGCCGGAATCGAATGCAGAGTTCACTTAAAAATCATTTAGTTATGTCCCTCCTAATAAATTTACATGTTTAGGTAAATTCACTATAGACTCAAAATCGATGGTTAAATTTCTAAACGTAATATGTTCTCAAAGTCAGCTTCTAGACTAGATATGTAAATAGAGTTCATATAAGATACAAAATATTGTTCGGTTATAAGTCTGTCACGGCTGATCATTTTTACATAGGCATATTTAGTCCATTAGTGATTTTTTCTAAATTTATTTGGAACCTTGGAATCGGCGGCATGAGTTTACTCTTTAACTCTCCTTGATCATTTGTCAGTTCACTGCTACTTCCTTTCTCTGCTCGTCATTCACCTCTAATGGAGATGAGAATATTATGCATGAAAATGTCATACATAATATTCTAAAAAAACATTTGAAAACATTGCCGTAACCTTAACAATTTATCTAAACTGTACGTAAACTGGAAAATTTGTATATTTAATAAGTGGGATCATAATAAATTTTGGGAGCTTTTCATCACAATCTTGATGTTAGTGTTGGTTATCTCATCCAGCGCGTAAGCCAGTATAAGGAATTCAAGGGGCTACAGAGGCCTCACCGCGAATAACTCGGCAAAGAATGCTGAACGTAACGCCAAAGCGAAGAACTCGATCAAGAATGCTGAACGTAACTCGAAGATTGGAATTTAAATTTAATATTATTTTATTACAATAATAAACGTAATACACATTATGTGGTTAAAACTAAGGTGAAATGAAAATCACATTTTTTAATTTCTTTTATCTCTTATTAAGACAATTCGCGCATTATAATATAAGGAATATATCCTGTGTCGCGGGTCCATAAATCGCGCGATCCATAAGTAGTTGTTCTGAGTCTGGGTGTTCTTTGTGTCCGTTTCATGTATGTTTGTAAAGTCCCCCGCGTTAATTTTCCAATTGTTGTTTTCTTTACTCATTTGAGTAGAGGTCTAGTACGTCTCGATTTCGTAACGTGCCAGAAATGTAGCGGATATAAAAAAAAAAACATTCTGTTATGATGACGATGAGTCACCTGAAACAACTTCATCTGAAAATACATCCCTAAATACCTCGATACGATTAAATTTGACAGTTCAAAAAAATCTAAACGTAACTATGTCGATTGGATTCTATGAAGTTGGTACATCCTTAGAACTTTAAATAAAACAAAATATTTATTAAAAAACCTTTGTATTTGATACTTAACACGATAAATTGATCTCTCACAACAACTAAATACTGATCTTGCAATCTATAACGACGCCTTTTTCACATCTGTTTCACCTATAAAACGAGTCTGTGAAATAATCAACAGTAACTTGGGAGATCGCATAAAAGCAAAAAAATAATAATAGAAAATGCCATTTACGCAAATAAAATAATTAAATTAGTGTTACCAGATATTGGGTCAGTATTTAAATTCAATTGATAAAACATACATTTAACATTATAAATTCGTGAGACATAAAATTTTAGTAGAATAGAAGTAAAAAGAGAGTAGAATTAAATATCTCATAAATATACATCAGTGTAAAAGGGATTCATCTAGAGGTACTAAGAGACTACAGGCTTTTTGTTCAATCTGGCAACTTAATTATAAGAAATAAGCGAAATAATAAAAGCTATTAAATGTCCCCTAACCCTGTATCAGGTGCTAAAATAACAAAGAATAAAATTATTACCAAGCGACGTACAATTTTATAGGTGAAATTAGTTCAGTAACAGAACAAAGCATTTTTTGAAATGTATTGAGCTATTTATTATATTTTTTGAAATGTATGTATATAAAGCTACCTGAGATTTTCAATTCTTTATAACATCATGTTTTAAACATACACATTACCATTTTTTGGTGTATACTCTTCGTGTTTCAATGTGTATGTTAACAGGTCACAGACACTTCAAAAACATCCTTTCTATATGCTCAAAATTATAGTGAAAAGTAGCACAGAGCCAAAACATATGAAGGCCCGTGCATTAATAAATACATCGAAAAGTTTGTTATTAAAGTATAAAACTTCCAAATAGGGCTAAAACCCTTATAAAATTGACAATATCAGAAGTGTTAGTCTAATATAACATATAACAAGACTACCTGTATAAACTCAACAAATACCTATTTGATCATGACAAGATATGTACCGGTTCAGTGGTAACACTAGTTTTGTAATTGAACCCTATCTTTCAAAAATAAATAACAAATTGCTAATATATTATACTCTCTGAAAAACAAATAATTTTATATTAATTTGTCCATATTAAAAAGATTATACAATATTTGTGAATAGTTTAAGACAACAACAGCTTCATAAAAGTAATCTTGCTACACGTATTAAGAAATTGCTTTGGTGGGAGCACTGCGTTCAAGATCACTTGAGTCAGCTGTCCTCCCATCCACGTCACTGCCCCCGGTTTTCTCGGTAATATTTTCGTCGGGGGTCATTGCATTCTTGTTCTCTATACCTTCGAATCCTTTACCGCGCAAATCAATGGGCGCGATGATTGTGGACTCTGGTGCTTCTCCTCCGGGAGTGAGCTCTTCGTCCATTTTTTTGTGCTTTCCTCGGTTGATGCAACTGAAAGTAGAATATTGCGAGTTGTGTTTATGTTTGTGTGACGGTGCTTATATAGTTGAAGTTAGACAGAAGACGGCCGTATATCATGGATATCACAGGTAATATATGTAGCATAGCTTTTGACTTTGACAAACTAAAACTTGACTCAAGATATGTATTTAAGAAATTTAATAATAAATTGAAATGAAGCTTTTTAATAATAACTATCAGAAGTAGTGGACAAAAAATAATGGTGATTCCATTATTCTGCCGCAAGTTTTTTTGGCCGTCTATTAAATAAAATAAACAAAGTTAGAAATAAAAAGAGCATGCTAACAAAAAGTTAGAAATATATATTCCAGAAGGTTAGAGAACAGGATATAAAGCCTCATTCTCATCATAAATGTTGTTGGCGTGCTGATGACCAAAGTAGTAGTATTAATTAAATGATAACCAAAAATTGATTTTTTGATTTATTTAAAAATATGCATCACATCTTTGTGTCTCTCACATTTGTTCTACTCACGAACAAGTCGTGAATAGAACAAATTCTGTAATGCAAAAACAAGCAGGTACCGAAACGTATGTAAGAAATACATGTAGGTCTAGTCTAGTCTTCGGGGAACGAATAATATGTTTTTTAAGGGTTATTCTATTTAACGCAGCAGCGTGGCAAAAATTGGGCGGTCCCCATGCCAGAAAGATATACAGACTGAATATTTACAATGTCATGTCAGCTAGAAATTAATAAAAATAAGATGCATATTTTTGCGAGTATTTAATAATAAGGTGTATGAGTCTTCATCCGTATGCTGTGTATAGTAAAAAATGTCCTGTACAACATTTATGAATGAGATAGAATAATAGAAAACGTGAAGAATTTACAATTTACAAGCACTTATATTGTTAATGCTCTTTAATACTATTGTTTTTGTTCTATAACATCTTTACTCTCGCTGTTACTATCTATGGCAGTGATTTCGTGCAAAGGGACGGAAAAGTGTAACAGGAAACCGGGAAAGCGCGCGCTATTTGATTTAACCAATGTGTGTGCCGTGTTAGAGAAAGCCGACAGAGGAGGAGGGATTTTTATGGCTGGCTTTTTTTTTATCTGAGCTGTTAGTGTGTATATGCACTTTAGGTGTTTTTTTTAAATGACAGAACCACAATTATTGCACTTTTATTAATAACACCTATGATTAAATTATTTAACAGTGCTCAGGCAATAATGCTTTATTTTTAAAACTGAAAAACAGGTTTGAAAAGTACAGGGGCTTGGCAATTGGACAAGCCATTTTGAGTTTTTACATAACAGCTCCTATTAACCAAATTTTTTGACCTTTAATAAAAAGACAACAATTTGACTTGCGATTATCGTATTAATATCTATCGCAGGTCACATTAAAAAAAAGAAGTATAAAAAAATTCGTCATGCATCCGCCGCCCCTGAATACGTGCAACTGGAGAGTTAAGACCAACTCAAGTGTCTTAGAGCGGGTACTTACAGCCGAAAACAATAGCAATACGCTAGTAGTTTTTTTATATCAGGTTGGTGACAAACAAGTATACATTCTACTTGATAATTTAAGCAAGAACCGTAGCCTATGAAAATGCGCGTTTTCAACCATTGAAAAGCCAACACTTTCATTTCTTGAAGAATCTGGTTTTGTTAACTGCTAACATCTGTAAGGTGGAGATTCTAAACCAGTTGATATATTATCCTATATTTCCCCCATCGTTAATTCAATTTGTTTTAAATATCTAAAAATTCGTCAAATTCGTAAAAACATCATATCCGTCATTAATATTTAACAACAGTTAATGATTACAACCATGCGTTATTTAACGCATTTTACACACATTTCTATAGCTAAAAGCGAAGCGTTTTATATGCACATGTTTAGAGTGAAAGAACCCCACCACCGCATTCCAAATAATGAATACACTTTGTATGAACATACCTCCCGTACTAGACGACATAACCAATGATGTTGATGTAACATTTTATATGAAAAATAAAAAATAAACAATTCATTTATCACGCTGCCAATGTTGTGACAATAAATAATCTGTGACAATCCTGAGAAATGTTATTGCAAAACAATAAAAATACTTAAACAAATATGAAATTCACATGTCAAACTGCTGTCAATTATTTTGAACTTTAAAATCCAAAGCGTTTATGAAAACTGTTTATGAATGAATAAAGTAATACAATTATTTGAATACAAGTACAATAAATAGCTGACGCATCTGTATCCACACAATTTAAAGCATATGTCTGCATTTTAAAATACTAGGGTAGCAGTAGCACATTATAGACTGAGAAATAGCAAAATCGGCAACGCGTTTTTCGTCCAGAATTTGGAGTTTTACGTAAAGTAATTTAAATTATGTATTGATCTCAAATAAGTCAACATGTATTTAAGTTTTTTAAATGTGAAGGTTTTTTATTTATTGTAAAGGTCAGTAACATTTCGCGTTAGTAACTGACTAGTTAATTTTATATATTGATGTAGTCGTTACGAAATTGATCCTTTTCTATACACTATACTAAATTAAGCCATATGATAAGAGAGGTACATTTTGTGTTCATACACATTACTACACAACTATCAGAGACATTGCTATATCTTAGTCTGCAAATCAACACTGGAACCACAAAAAAACTGTAAAATATGAAAATTAAAAATACCCAAAATAAAATGCATGTCAAAAAATCCTGAAACATAAAGCTGAAAAAAAATATATATGCACAATCCTTTCGCAAAATTACAGAGACAGAGTTCGGTTCACACAATTAATGTTCTTAAGCGTCGTATTCTAACCTTTTCACCGCCACAGTCGTGTATACATGACAAAGCAAAATGACACTGTTTTTCTTATTGGTTTTGTCATTATATAGCTAGGCGCATACCAATTTATATTATATAAACTGCTTACTATTTATTTCATCCATATTAGTTTTTGACGTGGCGGTGTAAGGACGTTTTTTTTTAAGCTGGCGTTTTGAAAAGCGTTATAGAACACACTGGAAATAATGTCGGTTTTAAAACTCTGTTTTATAAGGTGAAATGAGGGACGTAAAATATTAAACTGAAAACTCTTTTACTTTAAAGTACGTACCAAGCTTTGATCTTTTGGTAGATGTAGATTGCCATCATTGGGAACGGTGTCATGATGGCCACGGACACAGGTATCACTGAAAATGCATTAAAAAAATAAAAATTACTTAACTAATCTTGACTTCAAAATTAATTTTGACGCGCATGACACTAAACAATACAATACAATGATATATTAATAGAACACGGATGTTGAAACTAATTACAAATTTGTTACGCTTTAACTAAATAATACATTGTGATATGTAAAAACCTAAAAACATATTTCAAACACTATTATAAATATACCAATGGTGATTAAACTGGCTTAAATTGTGACTATTCTCACGTGAGACGTCACCTGAGAATAGTTACTACAAACGTTACGTTTAAACCCGTTTAAGCCCGTTTGACGATACACCCACACTACATAATATACTAATCGGCTAGTTTCGTAAATAAACTTATTAGGCGGTTGTGAGTTTTAACAAATAATTGAATTAAAACTAACTTCTTTTTGTCGATTATTTACCTCACTCTTTTTTAATAGACTATTAAATTTTGTGTTCAATAAGTTGTTAGTTATGAAATAAGATCTGTTTTGAATATTAGTCAGCATCCCTCTTTGTAGTTTATACTCGTATGATTGGCGGTCTCACACGGCCAATTGGCAGTACTATGCCAACCGCTAAAAGTACCTAAATCGTGGGATGGAGGATAAATTGAAAATAACTTTTTTTTAAGTTTAGTTAATCTTGGTAAATAATATAGAATGTATACCAGTCGTAATATCAGCTTCTGGTTGTCCAAGCGCGTATCTGAGCAAAAAGATAGCGATACCAGTGTTCTGGATGCCCGTCTCTATAGATATAGCCAGGGCGTCGGGGTGCGGCTGCTTGAAAAGCCGCGCTATCAAATACCCCGCGCTGTAACCCAACCATGGCACACCCATGCCAGCTAGTACAATCTGGAAAAAGAAATATATACACATATATATCTATATATATGTATTGCTGTCAGTTACATGTTTTTTTAAATAACAATTAAGTTTTTTTTTAAGTGAAAACTTCTTGTTGGGCAGTTTTAACAACTAACAAAAAAATGTATAAATAATAATAATAATAAAAAAAAAAGTTTTCACTATGTTTTTTCTTTCACGTGGGGGCCATGCTTCGCCACAAACGGGCGCCAGGCACGACCAGAGTGATACCATGGCCTCACAGAAAACCGGATATCATAGAGTGAGTGAGGTTACCGGAGCTCAAACACTCCCTCTCTGTTAGAAGGTATTGGAAGAGCGACAAAGCAATTGTGATTTGAGTTGCAGATTTCCATGAGCGGCGGTAGTCACTTGCCATCAGGGGACCCGTCTGCTTGTTTGCACTCCTATACCATATTAATAGGTATAGTTTCTAAGGCAAGACTGTCTCTCTCTATGACATGTAATAATGCCCTCCAGTGTTTATAAAATAATTGAATATTGTTAAGTCTAAATTAATATAATTCATCGCTTGAATTAAGCATATAGATTATAGTATTAATTAGACTTGTAACTCACCTGCCAACTGAACAGTCGGAAAATATAAATATTGGTTGCTATGGCAAAAATGATAATAAATAGCAGCAATGTGGTGGAGAATCCCTTCAGAATCCTGACCATGAACGCAGCTATCTTGGGAGTAAACTTTTGCATAGCAAGACCAATGGCCAGAGGGATTAACAGGCCCGCCGTGAAGGTCGCAATGCGGTCATAAGGAACCAATATTTTTGCATCACGGAAGACAACTTGTCCCAGGGAGAATAACCAAGCAGGCATCATTGCTGAAAAAAGAATTTAGAAATTAGAGCTTGGGAGGGGAATTTTGGAATTAGACCCTGAAGAAAGATATAGGCTTAAAAATGTATATGAATGAGATTCTACAAATTATCTCAACAGCTAATAAATTTCAATTAAATAATTACATTTCTTTAATATACGTACCGGTGGTAATGCGAATTCCCGTGTTCTAGTTTTAATTCGTATTACCAGAGCAGCTGCAGCACCATGCAAATAAGAACTGCTTTATACTATAATCTTTACTATAAGTAATATTAAATGAACTAATTCTAATAATATCTCTTTTTAATAGATCTCTTTTTTTCTCTAAAAAAGGAGGTTACAGTAATCCGTCAGGTGACAGTACTTCAAAGGGTCTTACCAAAAGAAGCAATGGTTGATATAGTGGTCATAGCGAGTGAGAGGTTGAGGTTCCCCCCCAGGATGAAGGTCCAGATGTTGGAGGCGCCACCGCCGGGACCCACGCTCGTCACGAACATGCCGAGTCGCAGCGCCGGTGTGTTCGGGAAGATCAGGAAACCGAGCCCGAATGACATCTGCAATAAACATTCACATACACTCATACAAGCCCTCACGCTTATATCCCCCAAGAGATTGGCAGAGACGTTTTAAACATTCACATATTGACACAATTCCACTTTAGTTTTTGATATCTGGCACGTTAAGTATTTGATACTTGGAAATTTATTGGGATTGATTGAGGATAGTCAATCAGATTGTTGCTGAGTCAGTCCACATAAAATTTTATTTATAACATGAGAAAACCGGTTTCCGGAACCGGAAAGTTATTAAATATTAAAAGCGTACAATAGGTTATGTTTTTTATGCACAGGAGTGATGCTTATCACTGCTCTTATCATAAGCCACGTTTTAGCAAATCCTATCCATTACCTTGGTGTGTCCAAGATTTGATTTAAAATAGTTACTTACGAGTGGCATGAAGAGAAACTGTCCGAGCATACCGATGGCTGGCCCCACGGGGCGCTTAATTACATCCCGTACAGTCGGCCAGTGCATCGCACAACCAAAGTTTATGAAGATCAATGACACCTGAAAATTACCACGAACAGCGTGATCAGTATAGTGAAATAAATGAGGCAATCAAGTCCTAAATAACTTTTAAAATCTATACTAATATTAAAAAGCTGAATAGTTTGAGTGTTTGTTTGGTTGAACGCACTAATTTCAGGATCTACTGTTTCAAATAGAAAATTACTTTAGGCTACATAGCATCACGATATGACCAATAGAAGCCAAATATTAATGCAAAATATTGCAAAAACAGAAAAATAAAATTGAAGCAGAGGGAGTTGCGAGGCGAGGGTCAGGTAGCAGGCATATAACTACTTTATAAAGTTAAATAGCGTACATACACATTATATAGTTACTTTCGAGACTTATAAAGTAAAAAAAGAACAGAATAAATAAAAATTATGTACATAACATAAAAATTAGTGTATATACTTAGTTAATTAAAAAATATTCACATATAGGGAGCACTTTGTCGATTAAATTAGACTAGTTGGTCATTATACTTCTTTTGTACTTATGAACTGTGATCTGAAGAAATTATCCAATTCATTAAAATACTGATCTATCAAAAATGCGCTGTTTTTCTATTTGTTAATAATTATTATAAATCCCTTTTCATGTCGACTTCGTTCTGTGAGTTTTGTCTCAAAATATAAAACATAGTTTGGACAATTAATCTGCATTATTGTTTTAATCAGTTTCTGTATTGAATGGTTTCTGTACAATACAGTTCTAAAACACCACTAATAAAATAATCTATATACTTACAAAAACAGCGACAGATGATGTGAATATAGTATCAATTACTCTCTGTGGTCTGATCACAACGACTGGCAAAGTACTGTTTGTAATATTATGGAGTTCACCTGAATTATCAGTGCTCACCACTTGTAAGTTTACCCTACCTGTTGAACAAAAATATCTTCAATTATAACCCGGCAATCTCGTGCGCGACCGTCCCGCGGGATGACAGACAGTGGCGGGGGCGAGGTAGCGCGTCATTCTAGCACACGGCTACACACGAATAGAAGTGTGCCTTCCCCGCTACACCACCCGCTACCCGCTGACATCTCGAGTACCTCGTCCCCGCCACCGTCTGTCACCCCGCAGGACGGTCGCGCACGACGTTGATGGACTATAGGTGTGTAACTTTTATCAATAGAATTTAGCATATTCGATGGAAAAACGTCCGTGTAGTGACGGATTAAGAATACGGAATGTCACTACCCCAATACATCCCGTGGGTATCGTAAGAGCCGACTAAGGGCGCAAAAGAAGGCAGGACACCAGCACTGCAAAAAGAAGGAAAACTTGACACAAACCCTATACCAACCCGTCTGACCAGCGTGGTATTGTAGGCCAAAACCTACTTTCTAAGAAGAGGCCTATGTCCAGCAGTGGACTATTAAAGGCTGTTGATGAGGATGATGAAAAAACTGACTTCACCAACTGTCCTGTAGGTATTAGAATTGAAGTTGTGGGCTATTTGTTCATGGGTTGTGACAAGAATAAAACGGTACGTGATGATTTGTTACAAAAACTTCACAAGTACGTTGCCGTCCTGACTCTGGGGGGGGGGGAGGGGAGGGAAGCGTGTATAATAAGCTGGGAGTATGAAAAAATCTTAGAATATAAATAAGAACACTTTCTATGAGGTTTTAGTCGATTCAATGCCTACACACCGCCCACTACAGTGGTGGTAACGTGTTTTGTGGTCTTGTATTTGACAAGTACAAAAATAAGAAATTTATTAAAATCACGATTCGTAATTACTTATATCCGATAACTAAATATAGCATCAATTATACAAAACTGTTGCTCACCTATGAACTTTGCGTCGACTCGAATTTTCCCTTTAAATTCATCGTTTATGATGTCTTGTGGTGTTACTTCATATGTGGTATTAAACTCTGCATCTGCTAGTTCTGGATTTAGGGTTATCATTGAGAATTTGTCACCAGGTTCCATATTGCTCGTTCCTGGAAAAGTAATGTTATTATTGGTTACCATACATTCATACACTCACTTCTTAATCACTTAAGGGGTAGACAGAGCCCTATTAAGCGTTATCACATTGCCGACAATAATGGTAGTCCCACTTACATAAGGCACTCGCTCTATTTCCAAGGCTTAGTCAAGCATTAAGAGGAAAGAGCTGACCAAAGCTTGCTGACCGCTTGTCCACAATCATTATTATTATTGATTTATAAAACGATTGCCTACGGGCATACGATCATGTTAATATTCCACCTCTATCGGTAATGTCTCTGCATAGCATTTAGCTATATATTGATTGAAACTCTCTGCTTGTTCGCCTTCGTCTTGCATGAGTCGTTAAATATCAGAACCGACATTTTGTAAGCTTGGCTTATATAACTGATAGTACTTTATTACAGAGATATTTAAAACACTTAATCAGTCCAATGTCGATATGAAGTGGAAATGTGACCAATTTGACTGAATCGACCAAAGTTTCTATCAATATATTCTTTATTTCAGATTGCACTGTTGTCTCAACACCTTTTCTTGTCTAGTGCATGTAAATAATATTGAAAATGAGTTTTTTTTTAAGGACAACTCCCGCACTAGAAATATAATAATGGAGCTTAAGTTTATCATGTGAATTCTTTAGTCTGTTAACATACTCATATAAACATTGTAATAGAACGTTGTGTATAGTTATAACTGGACTTCAGATTTAAGTATTGTATATTGTCAACATAATTGTGTATGTGCTAATCTGTTATCTGTTACTGTACCTATTAGATAAAATAAAATAAAATAAATAAATAAATATCCTGGTCGCGGTGGACTTTACAAACATAAATGAAACGGACAAAAGACTCAATTTGTGGATCACACAAAGTGTTATCCCATGTTCGAACCCACAACACTCAGCGCAGTAGGAAGCGGCGAGGTGACCGATTAAACCACACATCCGTGCAGTTAAATTATTTGTTTATATAATTTTTTTAAAACACCTTACGATTCTTTCCATTATTTTAGTGAATTTTCACCTCGTAATGATAAAAGAAAGAGATAATGAGAACGCATAGAATAAGAAGTGTAGGTTGTGATTGTGTTGTGAAGGGAGCTTGAGCTATTAAAGCCGTTTTATCTTAACATGGTATAAAATAAAGTTTTTAATGCGGTTTTCAGTACTCGTAATACAAGAGGAATACAAGAGGAAGTTTTATATGTATGATACATACATGCATATTTTAGTTAGGAAAATCTGAGAATTTCAAAGATATGTTATAAAAACGTGTTTTTTGGGCTTACATTGCTTTCTCAACTTTACGAGATAGACCAAAATAATGGACTACGGAATTGTATTTCTTAAAAAGATCTACAAAAAAGTCCGCGATAGTCTACTATATGTCTATCTCCTAAGGATAACTCACTCAAATAATATGGGTTTTTACGAAGCTATTTTAAACAATACATTATTATTCCTTATCCAATTGAACACGTTAGTTACGTTGTGCATTTCATATAGCTCTTTACAGCATATTATTAAAATGAATATTTTAGAAGATAGTAGAGGTTTAAATGCAGGGGCCCAACGACTATCGAGCCGTTCGTCCGTCCTGGGTGGCAGAGGCCGGCAGGATCGGAGCGGGCCTATAAATATTGCATATGAAGATGTCCTACAGTATACTCCTATCATAATAATTGTATAATTAATTACTCCACACTGACACCACATTAGTAGTTGTAGTAGTAATCGGGTGTAATCTACATTGCACCCGTGCAATGTAGATTACACCCGATCGGTCGGGGCGGATCGCTGGTGTTTAATAATAAACTCATTAAATGAATAAGGTTGAAGCGCCCGAATAGTTGTTTTAATTGAGAAAGTTCATAGTTTAATGGTATTTTCAGCAGACAAACTACATCCCACTGCACAAAGGGCTAAACATGAAAATTTTATACGATTGATGAAGTGCGAATAATGAAATTGGTGCAACAAAGTTTGAACTTTGGATAGATTAAAAGCGATCGCGACTTGCCCTTAAATTGACAGAAGACAGTCAAAAGTATTGGAACTAATGTTTTATCAACTAGAGTTCAGTCCATTCAACGTTAGGTCAAAAGAAGATCGAGAAAATGAACTGTCAGAATAGCTTTAATCGAGTCAGTCGTGTAGATGGGGGCAACGCATGCAATTGCGACAGCGCCTGGGAATTGCGACCCGGGAGTAGGTTTAGAGTACTACCTTCACTGTCTGCTGTGGTACCCCTTCTACCTAACCATATTTGATACGAGCCTAGTTATTCCGCTTTGGATATTCGTTCAAGATAAGAGTTTTCTGAAACTCTTGTCAATTCAAGGTCTTTAAGCAGGTTATAAAGGGATTTGGCTGGTATACTCTTCGCCCGCACTTCCACGGCATACAATGCAACGATTTGACCATTTCTAGTCATTTTGTAGAATAAATAAGAAAATAACGTACCTTGAATAGTAAGGTTGACGAATTCATATTCATCCATATGAATAGTAAGCTCTGAAGGCTCAAATAATGCCACCAAATTTGGCAGCGTCTGGCAGACAACCCATAGGGGGCATAACGCCAGCAGGTATATGATGATCAGGTGCATCGGCCAAATAGGACACATTTTGGCCGAAATTTACTGCGGTGCCCTGTAAATAAAAAAAAAGTTAGATCAAAATCGCGAACAGTTAATTAGTTGGAAATTATCTCAACTACATTCTCTAGGATGGACACTGCGCGTGTACGTGGAAGATCGCGGCCCAACAATTAATGGTGAGAACTAGTATTTAAGAACTTTCATAGTGTGAGGCAGAACCAGTAGGTAGGTATTTAGTTGATTTCGTTAGAAGGCGCTGAAATATGTTTTGCTATATACGGTTGTGGCTATAAGGTAATTAAATATCAGATGCCTTATTCGATGTCCCTAATCGCATTTAAGCCAATTTGTCTATGCTTCTGTTTTATCTATTTATTTAATTATGTTAAGTTGGTTTGTGTACGATTCAAAAACTCGCACAATTCTGCAACGATTAAGCTCAAATTTTGACACGATGTACAACACGCTTCAGACACGGTACTATTATAATACAGTACTCCAACTTCATACAAACGCACGAAACGGGAGCTATACCTACGCGCCTCGATCTCGGGGTGCGCTCGGGGCGCAGACAGTCACGGCTGTACCGCAGTGTCGAACGGACTGCGTGTTGTTTTTTTAACAATAACCGCGCGATTTTTTCTCTAATAATCAGTTAATATGACGAGTAGGAAATATTGTGCTGTTTTTGGTTGTATGAATTCGTCAATAACGCATCCAGACATAAGTTTTTTTAAATTACCTGGAAACTCTGAAAAGTAAGACTATAAAATAATTTTACTTACTAGTACGTAGGTACATAATGTGTGTCTTTTTAATGGATAAGTATTTCCTTTTATCTCACGAAAAAAAAGGTGTTTGGATGAATAAATAAAGCAAATAGAGTAACGGAAAGTTATTGAGACGAGTGAAATAGGGAGTTACATGCGGTTCTGAATGAATCATGATACGGTAGGTACCTACCTACTTACGCTTGTGTTAAAACTTCAATGCGTGTTTGTTTTGTTACTTTGCATAATTCAAAAAAAAGAAAATTCAAATTAAAGACGTGGTATTTTATTATTAATAATATTTGTTTATTATCTGTGTGTATGAATAATACTAAAAAAAATTTGTTACCGTCTGTGTGTCATTAGACAGTTTTCGAAATTTTCACAAAGTGTTTCTGCTGCTACTATAACAACATATACCACTAAAAACTGGTTTTATTTTCTCGGTATTAACAACAACAGCTAGACTCATATATAATATTTAGATGTTTGAGGGTTGTGATTTTAAAACATTCGTAGTCAGCTGTTCAGCTTTTTAATAATTAATTAATTGGTGACCAAAGAATTTTTGTTTTGAGTTGTTGAGAGTTGTAGGTAGGTACCTAATTTATAGAGACGTTAATAAGCTGAGATAAAAAGTTACTTACTCGTCAGCTGTTTCTTGCATTCTAGTTGAGTAGGTGGTAGGTGTTGGAGTTTCTAAGGATTGGAGTTTTGTAACGCGTAGGGAGAAAGCACATTTATTTTATTTTATAGAAGGATTTTTTTCGGTCGCTAATTTATAAGCCCGATTTGTTTTTCAAACAAAAACATGTTTTTTAATTAAATCTACCAATCAAAAAACAACACGCATTTTTATTGATCAATTCCTATTCAATATACAAAGTATTTCATTTATTTATATAAAAAGGATATTTACAATCACAAATCTAAATAGAAACAGAAAGTAGGCAAATATAATTAAAATGCTGGAGACGGGCAGCCCTAACGCATGTTTACGTACCGCGCGGCTGTAGGCATTTATTTCTATCATGCGGCCGAGTTACAATACTGTATTATAATTGTACCGTGCTTCAGAGGTGGTTTTCTTCATTTTTGGCAAACACTATGTGCTACAGGCGTGGTAGGGTACACCAGGGACTTGCTTTCTAGGGTATACCTGGTTCCCCGGCTATTAGTACCCGAGACGGCGTGCGGTTTTAGTCGGTTCGGGTCCGACATGCCACCGACAGGTGGTATCCGGGGGATTTCCGAACGGAAAAAAAAAAGGGTACAGCAAATTTTTATACATTTAAATGAGTTTATTTGCTCAATCATAAATAAGGTAAGGTATCCAAGAAAGTACATTCATGATTAATATTTTTAGTTTAAGGAAGACAGAAAGTACAATAGTTTGCATATTTGAATCATTTTATAAAAAAAACATCTCGTCCTTATAATCCGTTCGGAATTACGTAAATATTAATGTTTTTTGTTTACTTATAAGACTTATAACTGTTATTTATATACCTGGTCCTCATAAAATTAAATGATAAGATTTGTATTTAAACGTGTACACATAAATTATTGTACTAATACAAGGCAAAGGCGACAACTCACCACATATGTTTCACGATGACTACTGAACACCATCTCTGTCACCAATTAGTACAATATCTATAATCTAGGCTTACCTTACAATCTTTATTCAGATAGATTTATTATCACAAAACATTAAGTTGAATTTCAATTGTAATATTATCAAGATAAAGATAGCCAAAAGACTATGTAAGTAAGTGTCTCGTGGTTTCAGTCACGTATTGATAACATTGATAACAAAAATTATTAATTACAATTGGGTACTTGGTTTTCCCCTTGGTTCCTCTCGCATTGAAGTTAGTACGTGAGTACTTGGAAGGCGCCAAAGCGTTACCAACAAATTCACATTCGCATTTTCATTACTAATGAGGAATTCGTACTTAATTTTTATATCGGATTGAAAACTGGCATGAGTGTAATTCTTTAGACGGCAGAGCGGAATAGAAGAATTACTTTAAATTCTTAGATTATCTATTATTTCGCATAGATTGAATTAATGGTTGCAATGATTGGCCTGTTGGTCTAGTGGTTAGCGACCCTGATTGCTAAATCACATGTTGTAGGTTCGATTGCCACCCAGGACAAAAAATTGTGTGATGGGCACTTTATTTTCTTTCTTTCTTTTTTATCATTTGTTGTTTCTGGGTGTAATTTATCCATAATATTGTTTAAATTTCGAAATTAAAGTATGTTTATAAGCAGTCTGATAACCATAACACTGTCACTGCCTAATTTGGAATCAGACAGCCATATGAGATTTGGAGTTGTTAATTTTATCTAGATAGTTTTGGTAGAACAGTTTGTACTTTTTACACTTTCATGGGTTTGAAGAAGTAAGTGAAAATGTTCTCGAAATGATATCCTAACGTCATATATACCTACATGTTTAGTGGACCAATATTCAATAATAAGGTTATTCAACTGTGTATAAGGCTTCGTTAACCCTCACCCCGTCAACGTCACTTTACAATTCAATACGGGACTAAATACGAACTTGATTAATGATGTGACCCATCTGCTCGTTTACCTTTAAGATCATATAAAAAATGTTTTTAGTTAAGTATTTAGCAGTCAATAAACCAACGACGAGACACAATGCCAAGCTAGAGACCAGAAGGCCAATTCTCGTAATAAAAGTTCGATCACAATTCAGTTCCGATTAACTCTTGATCTCGCAACTGTTATTAAAGATATTTTCTTACTAAACTATTAAACATCAAAGTTGTCTGTAATGTGGTTATATCGTATTGTCATCGAAAACTGAATCGGTAATCTGCTGGTCTTAGTGATACTTTACTGTTTTACTACGAGAAATACCTTTTATGACCGTTGCGAGATCGAGGGTTGATCGGAACTGAATTTTGTCCGAATTTTTACGAGAATATGAATTCTGACTTGTTACGCGTGATTTGCAATCAGACTGGATGAGACAGCTTATACAATATAATTAATTAATATCGATTAGTATCGAAATTATCAGTAATGTAATTTCTTTATAACAATTATGAATTTGTCTAGAAAATAAGTAAAGATCCTGGTATATAAACTTTGAATGGAGCATAGGATTATAATGTCTTGGCATGTGGTAAAGTATTAAATGACGTCCATAGTTTAATCGTGCAGTGATAGGCAACCTTTGCAATGCATTTTTTAACCAGCTACGTTTATCTATATTACCTATTTCTGTTGGTGTAGTAATAAAAACTAAGAAGGTGTAACAAATTTTTTTACACCCCGTTCTAACCCGCATTTTTTTAATAAGTTCAATTCTTTGAATGTTTAGATATTTTTAGATTAAATACACAACTATTGCTCCCAATCTGTGATTATATCGGTATTTAGCAAACAAACAAGGTAGAATTACAACAGTCTAACAATGGATAGATTAATAATAATAATATAATAATAATACTTTATTTCTCTTCACAATGGTATACTTATAGCTAGTTACATTTACACAGTCTAGACTAGTTTTCATATGTGAAGAGCTGGTGTCTGTGATGGGCATAGAATGCCTGTGTTACAAATCACCAGGTCCTCACCCCACGGACATACAGATACATTGTTGACCGGTGTATTATAACAAACGAGTTTATAAGTACTTATGAAAAGAGTAAGTGTGGGATATCTGTGAAAGTGTTTGATGTGTAGAGTAAAACGTGTCGCATGAAGTGTATTGTTTGTGTGTGTTGTGTGTGTGTGTGTGTGTGTGTGTGTGTGTGTGCGCGCGTGCGTGTGTGCGTGCGTGCGTGTGAGAGTGCGTGCGTGTGTGCGTGTCTGTGCAATAAAGTGTTTGAGTCAATTTGAATGGAGTAGGTTTTCTGTGCAATTGTAATTTAGTTTCTGTAACCAGTTCATAGTCAAAAACTTACATTTTGTTTTTGGTAAGGGATATAAACTTAGCGCGCGATTTAATTTATTATATAAAGTTGGACCTTGGTAACCAAAAAAACGATGTGCAAGACTGGTCCTAAACAATGGTACAGGGCAAACTTTATCCTTACGACGCTTGTGTCGGTTTTTTTCCGGTTCATATGTTGTTACACAATGTTGTTTAACCACGGTATGCAATATATAAAGTTGTCGCACTGTCAAAGCTTCTGATTTTTTGTAAAGGTCGTCCGTTGCGTGGTAAAAAGGTAGGAACAAGCTTACTTTCAGAAGGGCTCTTTGTGCTCTCTCAATTTTAAGGAAGCTAGTTTTACATGCGCCACCCCAGGAGGTGATGCAGTACGTAAGCTGAGATTGACAGAGGGCATAGTACACAGATTTAATAACAGCTTTTGGGGCAACTTGTCTTAAAGCTTTAAACAAAACTATTAATTTGCGTACTCTCGCAGCAAGAAGATTGATGTGCTCATTAAATTTTAGATTTCTGTCAATGATTACGCCTAAATATTTGGTTGATGCAGTATTTTTAAGCTCAGGGCATGAGCAGTCTGTATCATTGACATTACGACACGAATGTGAGATTATACGAAGAGAGGGATCAGGTGCGTCATTGGATTTGGTTGAGAACGTTATATAAGTAGACTTTGCGACATTTAATGTGAGCATATTTTTATTCAACCATTTTGTAACGGTATTCATTCCTCTCTGGGCATTTAAAAATACTTCGTTCCATGAATTGCCACAAAAGAGTACAGCAGTATCATCTGCAAACGTGACGATCTTTGTATTTGGAAGCTCAATCTGGCAGAGATCGTTAATGTACACTAGGAACAAGGTCGGACCCAAAATACTGCCCTGAGGAACACCAAAGTTGACGGGTATCTCTTCGCTGATTGTATCACCGATTTTTACACATTGAGTTCTATCAGTCAAGTAATCTTGTATAAGTTTCAGTTGTAGATCCCTGACACCGATGGTCTCAAGTTTTTTTAGCAGGATAGGGACAGAAACTGTGTCAAACGCTTTGGCTAAATCCAAAAATAATCCTATAGTTTTTTTTGTTATGTGTCTAAGTTGTTGACTATGTAGCTAGTAAGATCCAATACTGCATCTGCTGTGGATCTTTTTGCTCTGAAACCATATTGTGCTTGTGACAATAGATTTTTATTTTCCAAATATTTAACTAGTCTATTGTTAATAATGCGTTCTAGTATTTTTGAGAGAGTAGGGAGGATGGAGATAGGTCTATAATTATTGACACAGCCTCTGTCACCACTCTTATGTATTGGATGAACTCGTGATTTCTTATAGATTTTTGGAAATACTCCGGTTGTAAGAGACAGATTACATATGTACGTTATCGGTGATACTAGAATATGCGTATTTGTCTTTAAAATGTCACTAGATATTCCGTCCAGCCCAACCGAGCACTCACTTTTTAAGCCTGCTATTAATGTCTTGACTTCATCATCATCAGTGGAAAGAAGAGTAAAAGAATGACGGCATGAACTTAAAGTGATATATTCTGTTTGTAGGTTATTTTTTTGGATATTTTCAGCTAGCGTTTTTCCAACACTTGCAAAGTAATTGTTGACGTGATTTACTGATGTTTGTGGGTCACATGTGTTTATTAAATCTAGTGAACTGTTTTTGGATTTTTTCACACCAGTAACCTCTTTAACGATTTTCCAAATCTTTTTACTATCTTTACCTGCGTCTTGAAATTGGAGTTTCTCAAAATCTCTTTTAATTTTTTTTAATAAAGTCGAACAGAAATTACGATACCTTTTGTAGGTAGTTTTAAGGACTTCATTTTCAGGATTTTTCTTTATTTTCTTATACAAGTTGTCGCGATTTTTAGTGCATCTTAATATCCCAGGGGTTATCCAGGGTTTTAAGATTTTTTTTCTGCTTGGTAGTTTCACTTCTTTGGTATTATTTTGAATAGCTTTGTAAAGGATATTATGAAATAAACTAGCGGCTTCGTTAGCATCTCCGATTGCGTACAGTGGGCCAAAATCAACATTAGTTAGTTCTGCATTTAAAAGGTTATAATCTATGCGTTTAGATATTTTAGCAGGTTTAGATTTGGGAAGAGCAGCTATGTATAAGGCAACACTATTATGATCGGTAAGAGTTGTTTGTAGGATAAGACAATGTGCTGTTAACGTGGTTTTAAGAAGTGTGTGATCTAGACATGTTTTTTGTGCGTAGGGTGTGTGTAGGCAGGCATTATGCCATGAAACGCCATCAAATCGAGGTAGGCGAAAAGGTTAGCGTCGGTACTTTGTTCAGCTATGTTTATATTTATGTCTCCCAACAGTATAATATTTTGCTTAGATGAATATTTTGATAGCACGTTGTTTATTGATTGCAAGAAGTTGTCAATATTTTTGTACCCAGGGGGTCTATAAATAACCAAAGCTACTGTATCTTTATTTATGGTAACCACCAGGCAGTTTGCATCGATTATTGTTGGTTCTTCAACTGCAATGAATAAACTACACCTTCATTCTGCGTATGGTTGTTAGTGGAAGCAAAGCTATCATATCCATCTATAGAGGGTAAATATGGAGTTGATAGGAGCCAGCACTCAGTCAAGACTATGCAATCCCAGTCCACCCCTGTCCTGGCCAGTATCAGTAGTAATCCAGGTAAGTTACATTTTAAGCTCCTAATATTTAGTTGAAAGATTTTAAGACATTGTCTTGAGTTAGGTAAGTAAGACGAGCAATCCTCGGCATCGCAGATGGTCGATTCTGAAACGTCGAAATTGTCTATTTCGCTTTGTAAATTAAATAATTCATTGAATTTTTCTAAAAAAAATATTAACGGGATAGTTTTGGATAGGTAGTTTGACCATAAAATTATTTACTGAATCATTTTGAAGTACAAGGGAGCTACTATAAACAAAATTTGGACTTGTCTACCTGGTTCCGAAAGAAGTTATCATGATGAATGTAACATAATGTTTAAAAAGTGGTTCAATATAGTGGAGTAGTGAGTGTGTAGTGGATGTATTGTTTGGTGTTGGTATATTAGTAATAGTATTGTGTTTACAGTGTATGTGATTATGCTTATTGAATAAATTTATAAAAAAAGAATAATGGCAGGTGCTTATTAATGAAAAAAATAAAATGCGCATACTTAGGCGCACAGTGAAACTATAAGTAGGAAGGTCGGCTGTAAAAACTAGTCAAATGTTTTTCTCTAAGTTTCTAAGATCTTCCTCGGAGTTTATACGTAGTCGATGCTGATCGCCTTTACGTTTCAAAAACACTTTCCCATAAGATATCCAGCAGTGGTCGAAGCTGTGCCTTTTTGCGAATAACCTTGTTTGGTAGTGTAGTCGTCTAACGGAAGCAGTAAGTGATTCAGCCACATATATTGGTTTATCAGGTCCAGCGATGGCCAACTTATTGGTACTCAGTCGTTGATCACTGTTTGAATTATTGTAAGTGACAGTAGCACGCAAAAACTTTTCTCTTTTTAGTGTCGATGTGAAGTCCACCACAATTATACCAGATGGTTTGTCTTTCCGCTTAATGCGAAATGCATCTCGGATATCCGAGTCCAAGATTGGCACGCTAATAACAGTTCCAATCCTTTTTGCAATCTCGACCAAGTGTTCTTTGTTCTCAGGTTCAGTGACGGGAACATTTCTTATCTCAATCATAGAGGTCCGCATGTTTTTTTCAAATTGTTCTACTTTTGTCTCAAGAGTTTTAATATGGCTCTTTAAAGAGCCATTTTCTTTTTGTAAAGACTTCAGGTTACCCAGAACTTCATCATATTTTTCGGACAGCAACATCATCGATTTCTATTATCTTATATTTGTATGTTATCTTAAATGCTATCTAGTTTTCTTTACTATTTATATATGATTACTTTTTTTATAATACTATACTAAGAATAAAAACAAGCATACATTTTCAACCAAACTTTAATACCTACTATGTTGAAACTTATAAGAGCGGTTTGGCACTAGGTCCGATCCGAAACCGATCCGAACCCGTGAAATACGATCTAGAAATCTCAGACTGAATTCGGATATTGTTTTTCGCACTACCTCCGATTTCTGATCTGTGATTACGAAATTGGAAAGCTGACTAACTGACAGACAGAATTTAATTTAATAAAAAAAAAACTGATTCTAATCCAAGGACACCTTCACAAAGTTATTTCACCAAGATGAAAGGTAGGTACCCTATGACTTTCTCTGTACCCCTCGCAACATGTACGCAAAATTTTACAATATTCGACTGTGCAGTAAAGTAGCCAACGCCTTGTAGAACAAAAACAAAAAAAATAACGTTAAAAAACCGACCTAACATTTATAAAACGACGATTTCAATTTTTATAAGTTTCTTAATATATCCAGTGTCACTCTCGTAAATAAGACGAATCTGACGACACCTCTCGCCAATGAAATATACATACTAACCTACATACATCTGGCTCAGCCGGGTAAAAAACACACACACACATACACATTTAAAACTAATTAAGGGTTTAAGATTTCGTCGATAATAAGTTAATAACACTACATAATAAAATAAACACTCGCATTTATAGAATATTACAGGATTAGTATTTAATCAGATTGTAATACTAGATAAATAAAATAAAAGATAACCTTCATAAATTGGTCACTAATAATCCCAAACACATTTACGTATGATTACGTAATAACTAAGGTTGTAAGTTGGTAATAATATTTATATTCACACTTCAAAATATCGATAGTTCGTACCCGATATTATCGGTTATTTAAAACTTTTTCAAAAAATGAAAATACGTAAATTTCAATACATAAGTAATCAATACTATATTAAGACTGTAAGTCTACAAAACGATAATAGGTGAGTAAGTACTTAATACTTATAAAATACCTACATATTCAAATGAATATTAAGTAATGTGCGTTGGCAAACGCATTATCGGTAATCGTCTGCACGTTAATAGCACGAAAATCTAGGCAGAGCGCCTAACCTATTTACTAGTTAGTATAAACGTATTAGGCGATCATTAGATCAAATAGTTTTTTTTAATGATTTCACAAGGCAATTCTATCTACTTTTTTTCTTTTTCTAGCGCAGAATTAGCATTGTACTGACGAATGCTACAAGCCGCTTTCAGTAGGCAACGATGGGGAAAAAAATCGACGCTTGCTTCTACATAGGCAGAATATTTATCTTATTATATTACTTTTTTTAAAACAATTAAGGTAAGTCATTTGATTGAAACCATGAGTATAACGCTAACGTCTTTCGTAAGGATCTTTTTTTATTTTAGTATCATAATAGTTTTTACGAGTTCTTCGTTAAATTAATATTAATTTTTACTCTGGGTATCAATACAATAATGCCATATCAATTCCTTTGAAGCATCTTTTTGTAAATTTATATTTGAAATTCAGTTAATGTTACAGTTAATGTTGAGTATATTATATTTGCAAGCAGGCAGGACAAGTTTTTCAGCTGAACCAAGGCTAGGTAATCAGTGGAAACTAGCTGACGTAATAAATTCATTTATCACGACATTCCCCCAATCTCACAAATTATTATCGTCAATAAAATCTGCATAGCTACTTCTATTAGTGTCCACGTCGACTAGCTATTTGAGGCAAAATATTTTCAATGTCATTGATTTTAGAAATATTAAGCGCTATGGAAGATGTTTAAATAAATGTGGTGAGTTATTGTATGTGAACGCTTAAACTGTCAGAAACTTACACTAAGCTTACTTTTGATGGTGGCTTTGCTCGCGCTGCGAAAGGTATTTTTTTCTGCATCCTATGTTCTTTTCTCTAACCCTCAGAATGATCGGTAGAGTAGTAACGAAAGCGTAACAAACAAATAAACAAACATACACACTCATATTTTATTTATATTATTACCGTAGTTACAATTAAGTATTCCTACGTATTAGACATTCTTACATAATAAAAATCTTTTTTTTTTCGTAAAGTACTTATAAACTTATACTCGTAAACCTGTCTCAAAAGCATATTTGAATGAAGAGATAATTGTAAGAACAGATAGGCAAAAGAAGGTGAAGGTCATCTAGTCGTGACAATACAAGATAACACACACGTGCTGATCTAAATATAACCTACATCAACATTATTTGGTCACTACTGTTTAACTCTACGTCAAACTTTTTAACAGTAGGGACTAATAGAGGTGTATGATAAGCATGCACCTAACCGACCTGTTAGACATGCTTTATAGCCGTGGTTCACAAAGTACATTCAGTTATTATAAGATCAGAAACCTGCAGCACAAATACAATTAAACAGTACTTAGAAAACCGCGAAAATAGGTAGTAGTAGCACTCCCTGCGATGGGGCCTAGTTAGCTGCGGCGTCGATCTGGGGGACCTGAAATCACATGGCCCGGGTTCTCCCTAGAGCAGGGCGCCTAAAGCTGGCCTCGGAGTGGTTTTCAGTAAAATCACCACATACTCCTATGTCCCCAAGGAGCCGGAGATCCAAAGGGATTTTCCAACCCGTCCACAAAAAAAAAAGTTGTAGTAGCACTATCTAATTGACGTTTGAGAACGCGCAACTTCTGCTCGATTCTCCAAATGTTTAAACGTCTCCAGCTGTCCAGATCTTACCAGGTACGCATTAGACAATCTTAGTCATTTAAAATTTGCCTCTCTTACTGTTATTATACGTAGTACCTACGTACGTAGTATTAATTTGTTAGGTTACTGTCTCAACACTTGCAACAGAACTGCGTACAACATTCTACTGTATGTTGTGCACTAGTTAGACAACTTGCAATATTACGTAATGCAATTTGAAATATGTAATACTAGGTTTTGCCCGCGGCTCCGCTCGTGTGTATGTCGATTATCGCGGTAAAAAGTGGCCTATGTCCATCCTCAACCAAACCGTCTCCATACAAAATTTCATCTTAATCGGTTCTGTGGTTATTGATTTCGCAAACAAACTTCCTCCCCTTTTTTAACCCCCTTAAAGGATGATTTGTGGGATAAAAAAATCTATCCTATGGCCTTTCGGTTTAAGCGTGATGAGGTAACAGACACACAGACACACTGTCTGTGTGTCTGTCTAAGGTAAATCTGTAATATTGCAAGAATCGCTTTGAAACTTGCATAATTTTGTTTAAATAGTATATACAATAAATTACTTTCTATTTGTTTTTGTACAACTTTAAGTGAACTGCCACTTTATAGATAGTAGGAATTACAATTTTGCTTTGTTCTGTATTCTGACAATTTTAAAACTACAAACTCATAGAGGATGTACAATAATAAGAAAACGTACATAATTACAATATAGCGGTACTAACATTATTAAATGGTAGTTAGTATCCAAGGTGAAATACAAAATAATTGATTAGTAAACACTTAAAATATACGTTATTATTTGCACATCCGTTGACTACCTACTGTTTATTGCAATTAATTTAGCAGACTCGCGATAGAACTACAAAAGGGTTTATGAACATTTCCCTTATTGCAAAACAAATAGATATTATGTTTGGATCGTGACCAGCTTCAAAAGATGTTGTTTGTTTTAGTTTATTGTTGGTTAATTACGCTGTACGGTTTTGAAATAATTTCAGGTTAGTCACACAAATAAGCAATTTGTGGCGTATAGTTTACATTACAATAAAGCTTGCCTAGATTATGCATGATGGCAACTATTACACGTCTCTCTGTAAGTTTTTGGCTAGGAATTTCCCCGTTATACATTAAAATTGATCGAGGTTGTGGTGTCTACACTTTCCGTTGCTTGATAATGTGATTAAGTTCTTAGAAAATCCACATTACAATTAAGTTTTAGTATGAAGTTATAACAAACTACATAATGTGCATATCAGTATGTTTGGACCTAACTTTGACCAGAACCTTAATGGTTTAAAGATAGGTAACTCTCTGATAAAATTGCCGAGCATAGCGGTCGAGTTCGCTCATTGTATATTCGTTCTGAGTTCAAACAATAATTAGCCAAGCGTGACATAGACAAATTCGTTTTGTTTTGTCATTATAAAGTATTGAAATCGCAATTACGTTTCGGCATTGACCCCGACAAAATAATGTCACTTACAAATGAATATTATATAATACTGATTACAGGCCTCTTGGGAAACTGTATGCATCACAGATTTCATGGTCTATTTAAAAAAAGCGATAAATACTAAAAGATAATAATTACTAAAAGATTGTGTCTTATGTATGAGTATAACAGTTGTATTGTAGTATGTACATAACTGCACGGATGGGGTAGTGGTTTAAGCAGTCACCTCGCCGATGACCACATGGGGCTAAAAATAATAAAAAAAAGGGACATTTATTCTTTATGTGATCCACAAATTGTTGTTTTGAGTCTGGGTGTTCTTTGTGTCCGTTTCATGTTTGTGAAATCCCCGCGACACAGGATATTTATCTAGTGCTTGAGTTTCTAAAGAACAAAGGTTTTTTTTTTGAGTTTTACACCTTATTATAGACCAATGGGAGGCATTTTCTCGCATTGTAAGGAGGCGGTAAACCCTGCAGTTACACGATGACGGATGCCCTAATGAGACTAAAACAGGGCCATAATAACCAAACAAGTATCTCGAAATTGTTGTTACAGTGTAAATAATACGTATTTTTCATCTACTTAATAAGATGTTGATACAAAGATTATCGTTTGCTTATTAACACTGCACCCTTTCCTCAGGAAAACAGTTGAATAGTTATAATTCTATTTTATTTTTCAAATACATCCGTTTTGAAATTTATCTGCAGTGGTAACAATTTTGTTGGCTATAAATTAAAAAAAAAAGAAGGAATACT